AGTTCATTGGCTGTCAGCGACTGTTAGGTATACGAGAGGCCCCTGGCCTACATTTTGCGAGGCAGGTCTTGGCACTGGCTTTTCTGTGTGCCAGTGGAAGTTCAGTTATTTATCTGCAAAATGCAATATGCATGGTTAATCCTGGAATTATTTCATACCAAAACAACACTGAGATTGTATTAGCAACCCCACTCTCCAAACACACCCCAAACTCCGAACCGCCAGTACAAATCAGTGACATCGTTCTGATCGCTGAAAAAGAAGTGACAAGTAAGAGTCTTGGTACCCGCATTCCTTCAATGGACATCACTGAACAAAGTGGTATGTTCCAGGCATAATGCTCCGCGGCCTTCGTGTTACAGCGGTGAGAGCCATGAAAACAGCCTCAATGCGTTCGGGCCCAATCTGTCTGGCTGATTTTAATTACCTTCCTCTGCTTAATATCGGATGTCTCACCAAAGTGACCTCATTTTACCGGTGTGAGCACCTACCAGACGCTCTTAACAGTTTTTACAAGTGACCCACAAACCTTGTTCGTCTTTTGGCATCCCTGAAATAATATCTCCGTGCCGATCTGAACCCCTCTAACTCTATCCGCTGCGTCACGCGTAAAGGCACCTTTCCATTATGTACGTTTTTAAGGTGCGTTGCGTACATGATGCGTTCATGCGTTTCACTGTCATGGACGCAAAAATCGATTCCATTAACATAAAACACGTGTGTGCGTTGCGTTCGGCCGTCAAAACCGTCCGACGAGAGATTTTGATGGATCCACAACCGTCGCATCGCCTGGCGCAAGTGTCATCAGCGCACAGAAGAAAGGCGCCTTAATGACGTCACGCAGCACAGCGCTTATAGAATTGCTCAATTTTCTCCTCTTTCTGAAGCTTTCTCAAAATGCAAGAGCATCGTGGGAACCTAATTATTTCACTGGCTCTGTTTAAACATCGCCTGAAAGATAAAGACCTGTTTTACTTTTCGTTACTGTGTTATCTGCCATGCTGGCAACTTGTATTTACGGAACACACGAAAGGACGCTGCACCAATGAATCCAGAACAGTTTTTTAGCCCCCCCCCATAATCACGCCCCGCCCCTATACAGGCTGAAGCTGACGGAGCCACCGCATAATGTTGCCCCTAGCAGACATCTATTGATCACACGGAGGAGACGGAGACGAAGTACGAAGGATGAGACTCGGAGCGGCTGCGGGCGCAAATTATCGCGACTGACCGCTCGCCCGACAGCCGCGGGTTCAGCCAGAGTTCACCAGCCACCGCCGCGCGGCTCCAGCTCCGTGTAATATATTCATTTGCCATAAATACATCCTTGATGCACGGCCGGACCGAAAATGTATAATGTGATTTATGAAGCCTGTTTTTTTTTTCGTCTTCCGTGAATCCGCGCGCTGCCTCGGCCGAGCGAGTCTGGATGCGGACACTTAATACGATAACGCCGCACTTTTCGGGCGAGTTTGCCTCACTGAGGTCGAATGGTGTTTCTATTGTCCGGTTCATTGAATTACGGAATCATTGAAGGACACTAGATCATTTGGGATGCGACAAACTGTGAGCAGCAACTTCAGATGTTGTACTCGACATTTTGTGAAGAAAATAATTATCACTTTGACAGATTTCGAACTCCCCTTGCCCTAACAACGAAACAGTGGGGTTTAGTGGTGCGATCTAAAATTAGGCCTATTTTAAAAATAAAATAAATCGCCGTCGTCGTTATCATTCTGGACACTGTCATCGTCACCATGGTGGCCATTGTCTTGGTCATACTGTTAATATCATCGTCTTCAAAACCATTTTACCATCCCACTTAACATCACTTTCCTTACGAATACCATTAATCACACCATTTGCAAAATTATACCCCCCAGTGTTAGTCTGTAATCTGTATTCCCAGGGGAGGCCTTTTCTTGTTACTAATCAATTGCTGGAATTGGGGAATAATGGTTATGTTCTGAACCGAGAGCAAGCCAGAAATAGCACCCGCGTCTTTCAATTCTTGAGCAGACACCCATGAAGTGTTTCCCGCCCGCTCCGGGCGCGCTTCTCCACTCGAACTTGGCAATATGAGAATCCATTTGCATAATGTCCTCTGATCAGTTTGCGGTGACCTGCCAAGGTGTCTTCAGACCGACCCGGTCAGCCCTTGCCTTGAGGGCAAACATCCAACTTGGCTTGACCCTTTTTCCTACACTCTTCCGTTCCGTCTTGTCAATAAGCAGCACCATATCGGTTTGACCGCGTCCACGCAAAACAGTGGCGGTCACAGTCGCACTTCATATAAACAATCCGCATCCCGACACTTTCTGTATTGTATTTTTTAATTTTTTGGGGGGCATCTGTTTTCAAGCATAAAGCACGGTCGTGTTTTTCAGATTCTCTGTTGTCGCGTGGCTAATTTGTTTGGCGGGGCCGGAGCCTCAGCTGGCGCTGACGGTATATGGTTGCACGACCGCTGATGATCAGGGTGATGTCCCGGTGAAGACGGTGATGAAAACACAATTATTGGATGCGTTGCTATCATGGACGGGTCAGTCTGCCCTTGTGGTCACTGAAGTGTTTTTGTCCGATTCTCCGTGGCCGAGGCCTACCAATTATGAGTGATTTACTATCTTCCTGCTTGAAGATGTTTGTGCTGTTTGACAACTTATCGGAAAACTGGAAAAAAAATGGTACGAAAGAGTTAGTTCTTGCATGTGAAATGAGGAGCAGTTGGACTAAGTAAGGAGCATGTATACAATGTCGATATCCCAAGAGATTAAGAAAATGATAAAACAAAATGTTAACTTCCTCCGGAGAAAGAGGGAAGAAATGTCGTGCGATGCAGCTTGTCTAATACTGTACGTGAGCTTAGTTGTCGAAAACATTGATGATTTATTTGTCTCGGTTTAGATCACATCAAATCCAATTACACGTGGTGGACGCTTATTGGCCGGAAATATATACACGCAGACACATACATGTAGGCCTACATGTACATCTGCCGTCCACTGGGAATCACTTCCCGGGTGGGACGGCGCCCTCCAGTGCGCCAGGGGAATCACTGATTCAAAAATCTCTTGACTTCAAAGGTGGTTTTTCTATCCTTTGACAATGTCTCCATCTTTGGTTTCAGGTTTCATTTGTTCATTACCCGCACAATTACACCTAGTTTAGTTTACGTTTTAGAGCTGTTCATAGAGAGTGTTACGACATGAGCGTCTCAATCGTTTGGAACCAAAATGGTGGATTAAACGTCAGCGCACAAATCCTGTCCTGCACACATAATCAACAACCATTTGGTTCCGCAGTCTGAAGTTGGTGCTAATCTCTCTATTTACATCTCCGCCGCCTTCTGGAGAATTCCTCCGTCTGGAGAATTCAAATGGTTATGTTCACGTGAATTTAAAGAATTCATTGTACCAGATTTCGTTGAAATCTAACCGGCAAAAGGCTTATTGCTTTTAACAATGCGCCTGCGCAATTCTGTTACACTCGAACGACCCTTTTCGGTCAGTTTTTTTTTTAATCTCTTCGTTACGTTTCACCGATGGCTCCAATTCTTGCAGCGTACATAGTCATTGAAATCTCGTACAGTTGTTTTCATGTGAATGAATCCCTCTGTTGGCTAATGATAAAATGAAATCGGCTATTGATAACCAGCGGCGTGACCATACCACTGGGCCTGGTCCCAAATGGTCGACTAAAACCATTCATCATTCGGGTGGGGTTCGTCAAACTATAGGCTTAGTTAACTATAGTCGTTGCTCGAACTTCAAGTTGCCCTATGGAGCCTCCGTTGCTAGAAAAATTGCGCCCTCTCTTGATCCCGCAGTACCAAGTATGTGGAAAACGTGGGGAGAATTTTATTCTGTTCCAAATGTAAACGTTGAAGATTAGGACTTGGGTCCAATAAAAAAAGAAATTCAAAAATATCAAAGGATTTTGAGGACGTTTTCAGATGCCAGGAATTCGGATTTTTAAAAGTACTCATTCAAGGCTTTCCCACTTTTTTCACATTGCACCTAAAAACCAAATATTTTAGATTCACACAAAAGTCATAGCCTTTCCGTGAGAGAATAGATGCCCTGTATTGCTATAGTACAAACCTGAAAAAATCACAATGCATGTATTTTATTGTTGTCACCGCTACCGACTCCCTGTTTGGACGGTCTCATGGACCTCTCTCCATTTACCAGGGCCGGATGAGGTGTTCCGTGGGACCCTAATCTATTCTGATGCTGGTGAGCGATGGACCCTTGCTAAAAACTATTATGACTGAAGTTTTCCAAAACTCGAAAATGCAGACGAAGACGCCGAGATGTTTAAAATCTTGTATATCTTTAAGCTGAGTGTGTTTTACATGGCATGCATAATACAGTGTTTTGTAGCACCTCAAAGACTGAGTTCGGGCGGCTTGTCCACGAACAGGTCAATTTGTTTTTCCTGAGTCGGCCGCTCGAATGCCAGGAACGTACAACCGATCGTTGCTGGTAGTTAGTGGCAAGCAATATGCAGCATGGCGGCGTCCATGTACGTTATTCGAGAGTTAATGTTTGGATATCTGGACTGGATTCTTTTCTATCTAAACAGGAACATTTATTTCTGTCACTCTGGCTTAGTAAGCAATCTCTCTACTTCTTGCAGCTGTTCAAAAATCAAAATCTCACGAGTTTTTCCGTGTGTTCCTGTAAAACCCTGACGAGGAGGTGGTGTGTGATCCTACTCCGAGAACAGTGTTCTTGAGTCGTGTTCGCTCCATTCGAGCGCGAGAACAAGAAACCTGTGTCAAGAACAGGCCGCCCAAACTCGACCAAATGTTTTGTAAGCCCTCTAATTCATTCGTAGGCCCTACGCCCCGTTTTCTGTGGCTATTGGATGTATCCAGCTTATCCCTAGCCTGGAAGACGAAAAGACAAAAAGCCAAATGAGGCCTGTGTGGAAAACAACCCAAGCGTGTCATGAAGTCTGGTATCTAATGTCCCCTTTTTCTCACATTTATTGCTTAGTACCCAAGTTGCGGAAGAGGCGCCGAATAGAAGAGATGGAAGCCGAGGTGCCTGTTGCCATCGGATACTGGGGCAAGCCAGCAGCTCTAGAGGGCGCCAAATATGATTTCCTGTGCATCCAAGCCGCGCTCACATCTAACAAGCCAAACAGTCTTTCCTTCACTGAAGGTAGGACCTTTCTTCATTCGTTCACGCGTCTGTTTTCAACTGAGAACTGAGGGCGGTCTTCGTAAAACTTGTTGAACATCGATAAGCCTTTAGTCCCAGATCTTTAACAGAACATCGCTCGGTGGAGAAAAGTAGTACAAATAGAAAGTAATTCCCTGCGTTATTGCTTTTGGAAATAACAAGTCAAATCAACGTTTTTTAGGTTGGACTTGTACAGAATCACCAGATATGGATAAAAAGGATAGCACCAGTGCTCGATAGTGGTCGTTTGCTTGTTATTATCACACAACTGTCTTGGGATACACCCATGTACTTTCTTATGGGAAAATTGTTTTAGAGCTAGTCTCGAGAGGAGACTATAGTCTTCACGTCTCGTAGGAGTTCCCATTGTTGAAATGTCGGAGTTTACTTCCTTTGGAAAAAGAGATCATTCAGAGCCACAATTACATGTATAGCCTTTCTCCGATTTTGGATCCCCCAGCACGGTGTAAAAAAGAAATTCGCTGGCCGCTTATACTCAATGAAAGATGTGCTTTTCAGTTTAGTTTTAATATTGACAATTTTAAGTTTCCTCAGAATTTATGGTAGATTCCGGAAGTGACGTGGTGACGGCCCGACAAGAGATTTTGGACCAGCTTGACCTTGAATTGATCGGTACAATCCAGAGCAGGGGCGTCCACACTACGGTGGAGAAACAGCTGTACAAGGCCATACTGCGTATAGGCAAACAGGAGGCTGAGATAGAGGTAAGTCAGACGCTGAGGGGTGCTGAAAAGCGGAAGTTGCAAGGACTACAGGTAAAGGGTACAATCCACTAATTCAAGCCTCATTGAAAACAGTGTACAATCAGCACTGTTCAGGGCCCAATAACATGCATACCAACATCCTTGAGATTTCTGAAGCACAAATTAAATTATTTTCTGGTCCCTATTTTTTCAATTTCGTTTAAATTTTTGTGGGTTAACCAATTACATTTTTAATTATTTCCACAAAACAAATTCACCTCCCGAAAAGTGATTTTTTAGTGTGATTAAACCATTTTTCCAGTGGCAACCTTCAACTTTCTCAGGCACTTAGGACCATTTTTCAACCGTAGTTTTAGCCATTATGGTTTCATGTGAAAAGTCAAAGACCGGCAAAGTTGGTGCTGGCTACGATCTACATAATCTCACCATTTTGGGGCCAAACAATCTCCCTTTTCTAAAGATACTGTGGGGGCACTTTTAATGCTAATGAGCTGGCCAGAAATTCTCACTTGAATTTGTGGACTGCACCATGAAGGGACGGGAGTGTAAATGGATGTGTGATCTGCACAAACCCTTCGCATGGTGAGCTTTGTCATTTTGGTGCAAATCAACTGCAAATTGATCTGGGCACTGTCCTGTTTTCAAAACTGTTTAATTCGTGATTCTAGACCACCTGGATTCATGTTGTTGAGAACCTAGAATGGCATAAATGGCTCTGAAAACAAGAGTATGTCCATATTAATTTGAAGTTTACATGCACCCAAATGACAAAGCTCACCATATCATTTTCGCAGATCACATGACAAACAGGAGAGCCGTACTGCAGTTATTGTTTGCCCCTGAGGTTTATCTCAACTGCCTACCTCTCTTCAACTGTTTCCATTTCTGTTTCAAGCTTGTTTAATGTGAAATATTTTAAACCCTCTGGGAACGGAGAATCGAATCATGGTCTCGTTAAGCTGCAGACGATATACCGGTACTTGGGATTGGTGGCTTTGAAAACTTTTCCAACAGTCTCTTTGAATATTTTTTTCCAGCTGTACAAGTTCCTTATTATTTCCACTTTGGACGTACACAATCAAGAAGGAAGAAACCTTGTATCAATGTGAATCTTACCTAAGAGATATTTACTAAAAAAATGTCTCAAATACGGCTGGTGTCTGGTTACTTTTTTTGTATGACACAAGCTGCAGGCTGAAACGCCTCCATGACAAAGGGGAATCTTTAGTACAAATTATTTTTTGTGGCTGCGTCCCATACTTTAGGTCATGCCCGAACCGTACGAGTCTATAGGCAATAGAGTCATGCGACAGTTCCGCCACGTGATCGACAGCACGGTGCACTACTGGCTGCAGGGGAACCGACTGGAACCGGGCGAGTCGTCGGGCCAAGCGTCGGCGTCCGCACTCGGCAGCTCCAGCGGCGAACAAACGTCGCACAGCACGCCGGAGCTGACGGGCGAGTCGGGCGCCGAGTCCAAAGAGGGCTCGTCCCCGGATGAGTTGACGAAGCGAAAGAAGACAGGGCAGGCGAAGGCCGAGTCGATGGGGGAGGAGGAGAGAGAAGCCGAGGCGGAGGACTCGTCGTCCACCTCGTCCGCTGAGAGATCACCATGACGTCACAGGTCAAGGGTCAACCGTGAAGCCGAGAATGGCCGGCTTGTGCCAGTATGTCATAAGAAATTGTGGTTACTGAGTGTAGTAGGGTGGCTCACGACCATCGCTGTAATGCTACACTCCGTACATTATTTCTTTCCCTTTTTGGTTTCTTTTCTTAAAAGAGTTGATTTTCAACTTCTGCCACCTATTGTCCGATGAACGACCTTTTGCCGCCTGTATTGTTCGATGAATTTTATTTTTCTATGATTTATTCATCACACGTGGTTCAAATTAAGCCATCTTACACTCATGATTACCTCAGCATGAAAATGATATTTTGAAGTTGTTTGCGATTAAAATTGGCATATAGAGCCTTTTATACTTCCGTGTTACATAATAGAGTGTCAGTCAGTAAAACTAGGTTTTTTCGGGTAGTTTCGTTAACATACTAGATCCCGATTTGATGCTTAGGGCAAATCATGAAAGTGACTTTCAGTCTGAACCGATATTAGCGAGCGTCGCACAGACCAACGATGACTTTCAGGAGATGTGAAAATGTAAATTAAAACCCAAATTTGAAGTTCTAAAGAGGGTCAACGTTCATAGATTTGCCAGCCAGAAAGCAACACTCCTACGCGTGATTGGCAATAGCCAGCGTAAAACAGTCTTAATAGGCTTGGCATTTAATTGGTACCCCCAGTTTAATCATTTTTGCCAACTCTGCATAGGCCTACCAGGTCGTCGAAAATCGGCCCCAGAAACCACGAAATAGCACGCAGTGCTAGAAACGAACGTCGTCGGTTTTTTTTCCAGCTCCGAGGAAATTTTACGAATTCGTTTACTGGAGAATACCAGGTAGCAGTTCCTGATCAGTGTCATGTTTGCTGTAGGTTTGAAGGATAGTGTCATCACGTTCTGGGCCTACCTTTGTCACGCTTGGATTAAGCACTGCACACCATAATGTGTGTTATGAATGCCTCTATTGCCCTTGAGCATAATGGCAGAATATTTCCTCCGAGTTTTTCCAGCAAATGAACGAATCCAGCGTAACATTTCCAGGAAATTGGAAACCAAAATCAGTGATGTATAAGTCTAGCAAGTTAACGCTAACCCTCCTCAGTCCTCCAACAGGTGAAGGATTGAGGAGTGTTAGGGTTAATCTTCTCCTCTATTTATGTACGGTTGGTCAACAAAACAATGTGTAGGGCTTTAAATATAAATATGGCAAGTTCCTCGTCCCCCTCGTTTCCATAATGTACCACAAGTTTTGTTGATGTCTGCTCTGAAATAGGCAGGTCTTTGAATTAAAATACAATGTTTACGTTAGGGTTTGGATCTTTTACATTGCTTGCAACTTGCATCACAAAGGAATCAGGAACAGAGCTTCGCAGCGGGAAGAGCGTGGTCCTAAACCGACACTATTTGATGTTTATGTAGGACCACTGGTCATTACATTGTGTAGGTACTTCACAATGTTGTGCGGTCATTAATGCAACACTGTACGTTTTTTGGTCGTACAGCTGGATATTACGTATAATGTAGCGTCATTCTCATAGGTTTCACACTAAAAGAAAATAACTCGAATGCCTTAAAAACCGTCTAATGTGCTTTAGACATGATTAGTTACTATGATTTCATTCTTAACTTTTGCGTTTTATGGCTTAGAACAAAATGACAACGGCTTGAGTGTTTTATGGCTGGTGATATACTGCACACTTGCTGGGGAATTCTGAGAAGTTTAGTTGGCCGGAGAATACCTATGCGTTCGGCGAACGCATTCGTTGTCCGTTTGAAAGTGTGGCTTTATATGAAAAAAGACCAAAGATTTCTGTACAATGCAGTATAAAATAATTTGTGCGTGTAGAGTTCGGCTTCACGCGTTGTACATGATATTTATTTCTACTTACATTGTGTGTGTGTCCTCTGCTACGTTATTTCAACAAGAATGTGTTACACCTTTTTTTCCCTTTTCCTTTGGGAGTTGTAATGTCCACTCTGTTCACCAGTTTCTAAACTGATCTGTAATTTAACGCAGTCACCAACATTTTTGTTCTTCGATTTTTTTTAATATCGATCAACTTTAAAGAGGGCCACTGTTCGCAGAAAGAAACTAGGGACAAGGTTATACTGAAGGGAGAGCTCCGTTAAACAAAAAATGCGCTCACTCCTGCCGGTCACAGCGCCCGCCAGCTTGAGCCGACCAGGCTGTCACCACGTCAAATGCTGCGTACGTTGTTAGCGTTTTGCTGCTGTAATAAGGCATTTTAAAGAGAAAGATAATTGTGGACATAGGTGTTCTTTGCCTTAATTTGGTTTCCTTTAAGTGACGACGGCATACCACATGACCCTGAATTGTGTTATCTCGGTTGTTTCCGTGGTAACCACTGACCATTTTCATTTCGGCTGGACATTTCAAGTGTGGACGGAAATTGCTCCTGTCCAAGGACTTAAAATCACTGTAGACCAAGAACAGCGGGTGCTAGACCGGAAATTTTTTTTCAAAATAAAAGGCGCCTTTTTTTAAACAACAAACCGTGAGCAAAATGCCACCATACAATCTGGGTTATTTTATTTGGCACACTGCTTGACAACATGGCGGGAAATTGGTATATACTGAACAAAAACTTCACAGTATATTTTTCAGTCGCTATCCACGCTTCATCATTCGACATTTCCGATTCACTCATTCTGATATCGCTCTATAGACCTTTGCACACTGTTGACTTACTTTCACCCATGATTCCGAGCCTGTTTAGTCGGGCGCTGCCAAAATTACGGTATCCAGACGTCGATTCCAATAGGTGCTGTCGGTTTGTTGGTATTTTAGTTCTGTGCCTTTATTCCTTTTACGACAGTACTGTACACTGGAGCCTTCAAGCGGTCGAGTTGTTCACTCTCATGGGTTTTTAGACCATTCTGCAGGGCAACATCCACAAGTATCGCGCAAGCAGGAATTTGCTCACTGCTTACAACTTGTCACGGAGCGCGCTTTTGTAGCTCTCCAAAGAAATTTACGAGATGTCATATTTCTTACGGTTTCGCACCGCGTGATTGCTGGTCATTTTTGAGCTGTCATTGACGCCAAAAGGATTCTGTTGTTACATCATACGCAAACCTGAGGAAACTCATGGTGTGCGGGCTGTACCTGTCAAGTCCATGAATGTAACAACAGAGTGGAAGCGTCTTAAGGAAGTAGCCATCCCATCTAGGGAAAAGGTTTCATTTTGTTTTGTTTGTTTTTGAGCAAAAAGGACAAAGTTTGGAAGAGCTTTTTTAACGGGTTTTGCCCTTACATCGACTTTTTTTTTCAATCGACCAGAGTCTTCATTCTTTTGGGTTTGTACCTTGACACTGCGTGTTCCACCACAGCTTATGGGCTTTTGAATAATCCTTACGTGTTGCAAAAGTTAAACCTTTTCAAAGTAATTTCTTGTCACATTGCTGGGAAATGTGACCTTTTGAAAACTCTCCAAATAGAATGAACTCTGCCCAATGACCTGACTTTTTAAGGCTTAATTTTAACTTGTCATTCGTTTTTAGCGTCTTTTATCCCGCTGTCTAAAATAAGTTTTTAGCATAATTCTCTTTTTAATCCAGAAGATAGTATGAAAGGGAATGGAAACTTGTGAAATTCAAACAGTAAAAATGTCGTAGATGTATTTGGACGGCGCTGCCAAGTTTAAGGATTAAATTTCTCATTCGTCTTATTTTGCAGTTTTGTAGCATAACATGGCGTGCAACCTTAAGTATTTTCCATCGTGGACCAAGTATTTGTAATTTAGACTATAAAAAAGAAACAAATTTTATTTATCTTTGTTCCATTTGTGATTTATCGGTCAAATGATTCTTCACCCTACAGGTACCGAGACAAGTGTTTTGAAGAATGGACAACACTGTATTTCGTTAAATCGTATTCTGACCCTGGTTCTTCGCCTTTGAAGGGAATAAACTCTCATTTAGGTCATTTTTGGTTCCATTTAACCATCACGAAGTTATCTTGCTTGGCCTAAGTGTTTCCACGCTTTGCCACTAAAACACCATTTTTTGTACTTCCCTGGCCTCAAAAGAAACGACTTTTTTCTTATTTCATGGCTGAGTTTGTTCCCGCGGGATAGTGGTATAGGTGTATATTATTTTTCCTGATATGAGGTCAAACTTTTTAATTCTTTTCCCTTAGTTCTGTCCTTATTGAAAATGATGGAAAGGTTGCCAACCGTTTCCTAGTCGATGACTGTCTGTTGAAGAACAGTCACAATTAATGCTGTGATCTCTTCGTCTTGCAGTCTTTTCGTGTCAGTGATCAACATGTTGCCAAATACAAAGAGATCATTAAAAAAAATCTTAAAAGATATTCTTACACGTTTGCTGTAAATTAGAACCACCGACTATTTTAGCTTCCACGTTTGACAGAGGTAATTAATCGGAGAGGAAAAGCAAACTCAGACAGAAAAGAAAATGGTTAAACGGCGCTCTGAGAATAACCCAAATTAAATTAATTACCACTTCCTGTACAATTTGTGTATGATAATTGATACGAAATTTCACGGGGACTAATTGATTACGCCCCATTAAATACACCTATAATACACTGCCATTCCAAAGCTCAATGTATTCAGTAAAAATTGTACTCCGAAATAATCGTTAGAAAAGCATTTTTCGAAGTATCCAGTGCGAAAGTTGTGCATTTTGGGTGTGGTTAATTGGCAGTTCCAAAGCCCTTTTTTTAATGGATCTATACAAGCTAGTCTAAAGCAACTTATTATTATGCAAGCCAGTGTATAGTATTAGTTAAATATCAAAGGTCGTAAACTGCACCGCAAATCGAGGTCCGAAACATCAATTGAGTAAGATCTACCCGGCTGCCCCCCTCCTATGCACATTGGAGGTTTCTGGCGCCTTTGACGTCAATATTGCGGACGTCAGAGAATTCAAAGGTAACTTTATAGAATGGAGGGCACATTGCCTGTCTCCACCACCGCCCACACAGGGTGCTGGGAAGGGCAAAAGCATGACGTAATTTTGGTCGTGTACTCATTGGATAGAGTTTATTTGAACAATAACAAACGCAAACGCCTCCCCGTGCGCATGACACGATCGCACGGTATGGGAGAGCATTTAACCCACAAATGCCTCGCGCGACAGTCGCTGTGTAGTATTTCCTTCGCAAATTTGGTGAGTGGCGTTTACCCTTCCAAACACCCTTTAAGGGTGGTGGGTGACAAGCGAAGGAGGGCATGAGCAGGGCTGGGATAGCGTGGTAAAATGCCGGTCCATTTCCATGACTGACGCAAGGCAGATCCCCTTCCCCCTTCACTTCTTCCAACATTCTACCAAGCACCCACGGCCTCAGCAGGGTGCTTGTTCAGGTGCCAAGGCCCTGTTCATTCCAAAATCATGTTCCACCCTCGAGGCGTGATGTACGGAAAAAGATACGACAGAGCAGAGTGGGTTCTTGTCTGCACCGTTAAACACAAGGTACGATTCCTCCCCAGGTCCGTCCCATCCCAGCACCACCTGTAGACCCAACTGATAAGTTCCTGTTGCTAACACAATCGCTGTGTTGTGGGACGCGCATCGTGCGCGCTGGAGTTGCGCAAAGTTGTCCAGGACAACTGGTGCAATGTCACCGTTATCTCACTGTTGGGAGTTTCCTGGGTTTCTACCAACCACGTGGCCAGATTCCTCCATGGTCCAATGAACAAGTAATTTGATTGCTCTATATTAATGTATGCGACTTCCACGTAAACACCCAGCAAAAAGATACTTATAGGCCGTGTTGTGCGTCATAAAGTTCTCCCGCAACTCTCTTCGATCCAACTGTCTCTTGAGCGTCATGCGACGTCCCAATGCGGCTTTTCTGTCAATAGTTATACTCTTTCCACCACGGCCTGGAGGATTACGTGAAATAAACAGGATCTGCGGGTATTGTACTTTGTACTTAGAATGAAAAACGTGTCATGTACTAAGGTGTATAGTGCTGCCGGTACATGGCGTACTTAGGAGAGGATGGAAGGTTCAGCAGATGGCTATTCAGCTGCGGATAAGCAATCTCTATCAGAAAATGAACTCTGCTGTCACGGGTGGAATTACCTGCTCTGCGTTCCCATGGAAATGGATCCTGGCTTAGCATGTTATCCATTCACTGACTAAAGTGAAGTGAACGTGTTTGTGAATGCCCCAATGAATTTAAAATAGCAATTAATTCCTTTATCCAGACAAAGTATTCAGAAAACCAATTAGCAATACTTACAACGCAATGCATGCAATGCATATTTCTATAGCATTTTACGTCCATTGTTAGATAACCATACTTCAACACTGGAATTCCATAGGCGGCCATATCTTTGTTGTGCACCCAGACGGCATTGTCACACTTTACAGTTTCTGGAATACAGACTGTCGTTCAACCTTCGTATAAAACCCCCAGAAGGTTTGGATTCGGGAAAAGCAATTTAACGACAACAACAGCTGCTGACAGAAAAGCCACAAGTTCTAAACTAGTTAAAAAGACGTTTATGATAATTTGATCTCCGTTTTCTTGTAGATACCTTAATGGCCGACCGCAATACCTGTGTTCACTAGTACCTTCGCATTCGCTACTGCCGTGCACTGAGTGTAGTAGTTGCCGAAGAAAATTGTGTTTAATTAAAGGAAATAGTCTGGAAAAGATCCGCCATATTAACCAGCGAATGCTCGGGCCCTGTTAGATAATGTAAAACAGTATACCTAAAAGGCTTAATCGTCCGCTTCGTGTGTGTAGTGCTATATTTTGACTGTCCACAGTAGTAACGTGTAGTGCTAACAACTATACAGAGTGTGTCAGGTGAAACTATTTGATGTATATCATGCTCGACCCCATTCGTGGGTATAGGGTGTTTTGGGGGTTAAAAAGGTGAAAGTAATATAATGAAGCATTCTATTTGCATTACTGTGAAGTCCTGTGACGCCTAAATCAATGATTGTATTAAGTCCAGCAGTATAAGGGAATGCTAAAAGATGTGTAGCTTGAAAAGCAACCGGATTTTGACCGTGGATAATGAGTTGTATCTTCGTTTTGAACATTCGGATGAAAATGTGAGATTTCTGTTTCAAAATGAGGAAACCACAAAACGCAAATATTTACTGAATTTAAGTCCGATTGTGAACAGGTGTTATCTTGCCGTGGCCAAAATAATTGAAGATTGATATCCACGAGTTTAGTTGTAAAGTAAATGTAAAAGACTCATTTGATATCACCCACCACACTATTTAACGTCCAATTATTCATGCCACTATATACCACCGTCAAGTGATTTCGACACAATTTTCAACATACACAAAAGAGAACAGGTTGATAGCAACTTCAAATAGAATCACATCTGGTACACCAACAGCGAAAAATACAACTGCAAATCCGTCTTTATCCACAGTTACAAGTTCGAATTCCTCCCGAAACCACAACTCTGACCACCACCATAACTGCAACCATAAACACTGCAACCATAAACACTGCAACTGGGCCCCAAGCAAAGAATGCCATACGTACAACTACCCTTGCAAAGACAACATAATGCAACGTGGTAATCAAAAAAGAACCAAACAAGAGCTGCAGGGGCGGCCATAAGAACAACTGAAGCACAGAAGTTGGTCTTAAAAAAACAGAATACAACAAATAAAAATGTAATGTTATGTAGGAATTTTAGGAAATCAATACATTTGCTCTAGACGAGGAAATGGTTTTGTAGTAATCAGTATTCCAAAAGCTGCAAAAAAGTCACATTGAGGTCCAGCATTGAATTATTCTTGTATGAACACAGTTAAGAAAGAACGTGAAAAGTCCACGCAATCCAAACAACAAGTGGAGAAATATTGAAGTTCTCGTCGTACGAAGTGCCGTCAGTGTTATTTTTTTCGTTGTATACATGTTCAGTGTTTCAGAACAACAACACATTTTTAATGAGCGTGAAGGGAAGACCTCATTAAACCTTTCCACCATATTTACATCAGTAGTAATGATATGCGATCCAGTCTATTAACACTTCAGTCATTGGCCTGAAAATCAGGGATTTAGCTAATCATTTTACCTACAAATCTATCAAAATGGTAGAATCCATGTAAGTTAATTAAGGTTTTATTTATGTTTTTATAAATATGCATTATTTATATATTATAACTATTATTGTTGTGTTGTTGTTGTTATTTGTTTATTTATTATTTGTTCATCACTTGCGAGGAATATTGCCACCTGAATGTAAACCACATTAAAAGCGAGGGCGCTCACACGCAAGGGTTTTCGGGACAACAGAGAATTAACCTCACCCATCTCGAGGCCCTCTACACAGGGTGCTTTCGAGTGGCTTCCGAGGCCCCCTGATCTGGAATTGGCCATTGGTTTTGTGTGTCAAACAAACGAGCCTTTAGCCACGAAGTTAAAACCAAATCAACCCGTGGAAGCTATACTCGAACGCAGTCACTATAAAGGAACTCTCTAAAGGCAAAAGAATGAAAAACATAAATCCACTAGAAGAGTCAAAGAGCGTAAACCCAACTAAAGGAGGGAAAAGTCACTATAAAAGAGAACTCTTGTAAAGGACAACTCGTTCTCGAGTTGTTTTTTAAATGGCTCCCAGGCAGAGTGGAATTTTCACTGTTTTGGAGTGGTTTTAACTCCTTTGGAGTGGTTTTATATAAGGAACTCACTCTTTTTTGAGAGTGAGGCTTTCAATCTCTTGCATTTAGAGAGAAGTACTGGCAGCTAGGCTGATGTCATCCCACGAGTAAAGTGTATTGGTAGCTTATATGATTTTTTCTCACTGATTAGACAAGATGCGCTTCATTTAAATCGGTAATTGCTCTAAATGGGGTGAACTGGACATGTAACTTCCGATATAATTCATTTAGAACAGCGCCCTCGCGTGTGCTCATTTCAGTCCAATTTAATTTCTATTTTATTTCTGTGCAAGTTCCTTTAGCATCGTCCAAAATAAGTCCAAGGTAGCCTTGTCCGTCAGGCAATTACACGTGAAAAAGATATACAGCACTTGAATGACAGGAGGCCAGAAAATGCTCGCCCTTTTGTCAGCAACATCTTCATCAGACGCAATGAGTAAGGGCGCGATGAGGCAGGTGGTGGAAGGGAAGGAGGGCAAATCTGAAAAAAAGCGGGGGGTGGAGGGAGTGAAAAAAAAAGAGGAAAAGGAATGAAACCGCCAATTTTTCTCGACAGTACCTTGGAACTGACGTCTGTCTAACATTCATGGTTTGTCACTCCCCCCCCCCTTAAAATCCTGGTGACGTTCAAGTCTTCAGGTCACAGCTTCGCTACACTCTAATATTAAACTTAAACCTTACCTGGAAATACTCTGAACCCTACGTCTGCGTTTTACGAAGTAGTTGCTGCTATAAAAGCTTTTGTAAACTCTTTTACCTCCGTTAAGGCCGATTCACATTTGACGCAGAAGCGAACAGAAACCAGACTTTGTTACGTCAGATCAAATATTCGCTCTGCCAATTTGCAAAACATGACCACATTGCAACTCGAGCGAAATGTTGCTGCAAATCTTTCCTGACGTCAATTCGCTTGGCTTTCATGGCCACCTATAGTATGCATCGGCCTGTAGTCGTTAAAGTTCTGCATAACTTTTCCACCGAATTTATTTGCGACTAAGATATTTCAATCCCGGGTTTAAAAAGGGCTTAAAATATGCATTCTTATTTGAATGAGTCATTTCGACTCGCATTCTAAGCGTAGTGACTGAGCACTTTGTAACAGTTTGTAATGCTGTTGCTATGTTTGTTTCCAAGTATACATGTCTTTGGATTGAGGAATTGAACTATTAATCCGAATAATTGAAATTTTGAAAATAACACTCTCCCCAGGCTTGTTTGGTGTAAATTTTTGCATAGTGTTATTGGGAATTTGGCAATTCAAAACATTTTATTTTACAGATATACGCACAAAAGTAGTTTCTTTATTCGGATTAATTCTTCAAGTTGAATGTTTAATAGTAAGAAATGTATTGTGAAATGCTTTTTTCTGTTTTTTTTTTAAGATGATATCTCGAGAAGTTGGTGCAGAACTGAATATATGCCTTCCACGGATGCGTTGAGATCTCGTTGTAACTACCAAAAACGAGACAATCGGGCGCCAATTGAGATACGCAGGGTGAATCTAACATTGCCGGTGTTGTACGAAATGTGGGCTCTCGTGAAATCTGGCCTTTGTCCCTTTATGGAAACCCCACGTCACTTACGCCTATTAACTGTCATCGTTTTATGCGCACGCACCAAGTCATGCGCACTGCGGTCAGTGGGTTCATTTTTTCCCACAGGGTCCAAATTTTTACACTACAACGCCACGAAATGTCTTAGTCTAAACATGATTCAGTAAAGTTGACACACTTTTTAAAAACTTTTTTTGGTACTTACATTTGCTTGTTTTACGAGAAGGTCGGTGTTTATATCTTTACCAGCGATCTGGGTACACCCTGCGTATACGTAGGCACACCATCAGCCTTGATAATTATCTCAAAGGCTTGGGACCGCTAAAAGTTGTCTAGAATGCTCGCCAGATTAGCAAAAGTTATGATCAGGCCTCCATACGGCGTACTCATAGAACTGTACTTTTCGGTACAAACTGCCATCCGGCAAAACATTCCTGTATAAACGTCTTTCGCGTTTCTTCTTTCTTTTTATATCTAACGGAAACAGGCCACAGAGGCCTGGGTGTTCATCGCTTCCTGCAGCCATCCAGAGCATTGCAGACATTTCTTATTTTGAGTCCCGAGCCTTGGCGATCTTGTCAAGGCTGTAGATGGCCAGGCAAACTCGTCGACAGGACGCACAGGCGCCTTGTTGCCAACGCATTTTGCCTTGTAAGTGTGTAGAGAGAGATGGATTAAGGTGATCTCTTTTCAATTTCGATCTTTGGTATCTGTATGGATGTCCTGTTTTTTCTAGAGATGGACCAGTGTTTAATTTACTAACCACGCAGGTGTAACGTCTTGTTTTCTTAAGATGGTGGAACAGGAGCCCTAGTCTCCCTCCATTTTTAAAAAAAAAGGACAATAAAGTGAACGTGGCACACTAGTTTTTCAGACTGGGGGCCGCTCTAGTGTGGTGGACTATGGAAAAAGGAGAACAAAAAGACAAATACCTCAAATCGATGTTGAAAGTTTTATCAGTATTGAGTGGCATTTTTTACGTTCAAAATTGCCGCGAAAAGGTGTAAGATACAAAAGTACTAAAAAATTGCAAAAGAACTATTTTGCTATACAATAATAATACAATGCGGAACTACTAATGTATGATGACTTGATGATTTTACGACTCAGGGTACTTATTGCAGGATGTATTTTGACGGTGAAATCAGCGACTGTTTTGGAGTTTACTGGTAATATTGGACGGTGAATAATAACACTTGATAAATCACATACCTTGTACTGACATCATTCGCTGGTTCCCGCACAGAGTTGTTCCCCTCGTAGATTTCCATCGCTATTCGTTCTTTCCACGTGGATGAAAGAACGATAACGGGAGCCAGCAAAAACAGACTGGAAACGGACTATTTTAATGAAATTGATAATAATCTGCAGCCGTGGACGGGAAGTGTGCGTGTGCATTATATGCAAATAGATGCAAATCGTATGCACTGTTTTGCATTTATGCGTATGTATGCTACTGTGTACCGGTTGTATGGTTGTTTGTCTCTGGATGCTGCAGCAATGTAACGTTCGACGTACGTGCTTGTTTGGCTTTGTACTCTATACTTAGTACTTTCATACAATAATATAAAATATAACAATAATTTATCATTGTTACGGAAATTTGAATTTGTGAAAAGGAATAAATATTGGTAATTGTTGATTATTGGTGTACTATAGGGTACATGTTGGAATAACGTGTATGTAAACTGAAGAAAAAATAAAATGAAAAAAGACCATGGCTTGTCCGCACTTTGTCGTGTACTATTGTCGTCATTGATTATTCACTGTCACGTGGTTTTGCTTGTTGTGTTGTACCAGTGGAAGACATTATATAAACTTTAGCTTCAGTGACGGCTACTGTGATATTCAGTGGAGTTTATGGAGTATTCAGGAATCTTGGGTGGTCAAAATGGGAACATTTTGAAAGTTTTCCTTCGATTTTTGTAATCAGTATAAAATAATTCTCCTTGGAAGGTGCTTGCACCGTTTCTATAGGGTTGGCACTTTTATTTCCTGAAATAAAACGTGGCAGCATTTCCCTTTGGAGCGAGTCGCAACCCCTCCGTGGTTACCGCGCTCGTGGCAATTATTTATTACTTTCTTGAAGAGGTATTCTTTCAAGTTACTTACTCAACGTCCGCGCGGTTGTGTTGTCAGTCACTTAAGGTTGGTGTCGTGTTTGGTCAGTCTTTAATCGATAAAATGGACAAGTGTCTTCTTCCTGAATAAAAGTTTGTCGTTCAAACCTGTCTTGATTTCAGATATGTATAGTTTATCCCTTGGCTGATGATACAGACACACAACCGTTCGTGCAGGCGACTGCGCCGCAGAACACGAAGATGACGTGTTCTTTGCACCTGCAGAGTGAAACATTTGTTCTTAGCTGTCACCAACAGAGGGCGCAGTCAGTTAAAAAGTTGACCGGCCACGTAGTTCACAGTGACATGAAGGCTCGGTTGAACTCTGCTCGAGCTCGTAAAACTTTGTTCTCTGTGGAAAAGTGCATTGACGGAGCAATGAACCTTTGCTCACCCTTTTGCGTGATGCTGAGAAACCTCAGCCCCATCGAGACTGACTCTTTTCTTACATTTGACTTTGTCCAACATTTTTACGGACTTCATATTGACACGAAACTGTCGTAAAATGAGAAACTACAACTTCCACTCAACTCCTAGGCGAGAGTCGTTAAAATATTCCCTGTAAGAGTAGGAACTGGTTTGGGGGTTCATTTTCGCAATTGAACTGTAAAATTTTGTTGCTTGTCTTGTGATTTTTAGCGTATGAGTCGTTAGTTGCAGATTTTGATGGCCAAGTTCATGGAGGACGTTTCCCGTAAGTTCGTCTGTTTTGTTTGGTTTATTTATACCTTTTTTAGTTTTAACTTCAATGTGTTGTGGCAGTCAAGGTCGATTATATGCGTTCAGTGTGTACCAACTTTTTTAGAACATGAAAACAGATCGATTAATTATTACTTATTACTTACAGTGGTGGTCCTGATTGTATCAGCCATATTACGGGACATTTCAGTTCGATTTGCAAGGCCAACAAAATACAAGAAATCGGATTTTTTTGCGACGGGGCTGCTTCGATTACAAAATATCTTGTTCTTGTCTTGTCTTGTTAAAAGAATTCAACAAGACTTGAAATCAACCAAACCAATTTCCTGGTCCTTTTTGGAACCAATGGGCTGTTTTAACCTGCTGTGAAAAAGATACAGCTGTGTGTTATTAAACTGTTGTTATCAACGATAAGACTCAGCGGAGGGATCAGTTTCAAAACTTATCCGATTTATAGGACACACAATCAATTCTTGATGACCGTTGATTACGGTTATAAACAACCCCCCCTGACACAGCGTCATGCTGGTGGTAAACTGGCTTCGGGGACAGCATAGTAAACATTTTGTGTCAAGAGAACTGACGAACAATAAAGCAAAAGTGATCGACTTTCCTAATACTAGTTCCAAAATTAAACAATGTGGCTCCATCAAATGCATCACAAAGGTAAGCTGCCGGTATAAATGATACCTGCTTAGCCTTTTCTCTTCGTTTGTTTTTTTCTATCATTAGGCTGAATGTTGTGTACTAGTACACCATGACGTGTGACGGCAAATGCAGACGGATTATTGACATAACATGACATAACATAATGACATAATGTTTGTGCAGCTAAAATTGAAACCAGGCCAATATTTAAATGAAACGAGACAAGCTTCATGCGAAAAGCTAAGTAATAATATTCCATGGAAGAAAGCGAGAGCAAAGAAATTAAACTATTCGAATTCTAAAATGTCAGTGTGACGTGCCGAACTCGGGAAATAGCATGCAAGCGTCTCAATTTAGCTACTTTGCCTACTTCAGTACAGTTCATACAGTAAGTGCTTAATAAGCTATAGGTCGTGTGCGGCTAGACTGGTTCCCGACCTGCACATAGTCTCCAGACATCCTGTGAACGTAGGGACCGGTGAGGAAACGGTGGCCAGTGCCCACTCAAGTAATCAGGAGCTGTTACAATACAATATTTTGGTTTTTCCTCTTTGTTACCAAAAATAACTTCACCGTAAATTGTTTATGTATCTACAGTTTCACACAATAACCACTGGTTTGAAATGAAATGCTGTAATATGATTTATCCATGATAATCATTGAAAGATAAATTACTGTGATCAACAGAGGCTTAGAAAGGATAGGTACTTGCGTTTTATTTGCCTTCCTGTTGAAATGTAATTCATGTTAATTTAATTAAAACATTGCTATTGGCCTGGACAAAAACTTAAATATTCAGTATCCAAATTGACAGAGCTAATCGCACACGTTAAACTCCAACTAGCTACCGGTCCCTATTTAACAGGGACTAGGACCAGTCGAGGATGCAGTCGACTTTCTGTACGGCGTGGATGTGCCAGCGAGTGGAGTGAGGAAAGGAGCACGCCAGTGGCTGCTTCATCCATGCTTTTTTTCCGACGGGTTGTGGCTGTGCACCTGCTATGATCAACCGCGAATGTCCAGGCTTCGTTAATTCAGTTAGCGTCTCCTATCTCTGCGTCTGACAACATCGGAGGGCAAGTTTTCAGAGAGCTCCAATCCAATTAATGAACTCTGTGGGGGTTGTGGAGCTAAGTGTTGTCCAAAACGTGCTTCCGTTCATACAGTGTCGGCATTTGAAGTGAAGTATCCCTTAGAACTGGGTTCTCAACATTGTGACATAAGTTGCAAACATGCATGTATTGCATCGTATGCATTTTGTTTTTAGTGAATGGACTGACAGTCACTTCTTGGAAATCCTTTAATTTCTTCCTTGGAGGTGAAACATTAAGGATATGCACTGTTTTTATGTTTCTGTGAGGTTTCCAAGGACTGTATGGCTTTCCATCATTGACCAAAATTACCAGCAGGTTGTTTGGTATATTGATTTAGAAAAAAAATTAATAAAAAATAATGATTTAGATTATTAAAGACAATTCAAAAGTGTGAATCTGCGGGAGTGTTAACAGATAGACTTGACGTGCCACAAAATAAGGCAAACGAATGCCGGTCGTGTCAAGGTTCGCAAGGCAAGCTGCGTTCAAAAACAGTGGGAGTAGGCAGTAACAGAATCCATACTGAGCTGAAAATGGAGCCAGACCGACCAAATTTTGAGGCTAGAACTGGGGTTTACTCCGTGCTCCGGGGAAAGAAGCAAGGTTGCGTTCCAATGACAAATGTGTAATGTAGTACCGGGACAGGTCCTCCGTGGAGCGTAAACGAACGGCACGCCGTGTACATCGGGAAATTTGGAGGGTACGTTCGTCCCTCATGTCTGCTGCGAATAGCGGGGTGGGGTGACTCTTAAGATGCGGTTGTCAAGGCAATTTCTAAAAAAATAGCCCGCAACCCTAATTGGATAAATAGCAACTGGTTTAGGTGCTACTTACAACAAAGATACCGTGAATCAATTTACATAAACTATCCACAATCTCTTCATGAAGCGTTTTTGTCGATAGTCTTAACCGTTTGTTGTCTTGAAATCATTTTGTAATTGTTAAAATTATCGAAAGTCGTAGGAAGAATAACCTGTGAAAAACTATTGTTAAAAGTGAGTTTGACTGGGTGAAGACATTGCCTGACAACAATATCAGAATTGCAGAAAGGATTTTTTCCTCACTGACGACTTTAAGTGCAGCTAGTGTACGTTTTCATTTATTCTTTTGGATGTGTTAATGTATTTTTAATCTTCACTGTCCTTGAAGTGTTATGTACCATTGAAGAAAAAAATCATGCTCAACTTAATTACTGCTCGATCGAATCTTGGAAAGTTGCAATGTACTGATGAAAAGCCGTTGTTTAGAGAAACGTCGCCTAGGGCCACGTTCCGGGATCGACAGTATTTCGAGGTGACAAAGAACGGTGCAAGCAACGCGGATTCATATTTGACACCTGTGCTCCCGGGGTTCGTTGATAGTGTTTTATCTCCTTGTGTCCTTTGAAACATTAAGCATGTTTCGATTAAACCTGGTGTGATATCAAGCATGGGCGGAAATCTCTCCTCGATCGTGGGGGGACATCCATTTACACTTTTTTGTGCACACCGTGTTTATTATCTTATTCCATTTATAAGTATTCAAAAGGGAAAATCCTCGATGCATCAATTCCTTCAGTATTTTGTTTTGCTTAAAAGATGAAGGGGGCATTCGACATTGTGTCCCCCATACCAAATTCATGGGGGGACGTGTCCCCCGTCCCCCCCCCCAGATTTCCACGCATGATATCAAGTCGTCAGAAAGGTGATGTTCTTGGCCATCTTCACAATATCTTCCTGTTAATAAATCTGTATTTTTTTTGCAGGAAACCCTGACTATGTACTCCACGGTGTGACAAGTGATGTTAAAAGTGTATTAAGTCATAAAACAATGCTTAAAATAAAAACATATCCGGATTTGAAATCTTAACTCAGAAGAATTTTTGTTCATTCCAGTCCTGTCTTGTACAATGGCGATTTAATAACCGGTTGTTGGTTTTCTAGAGCTGTTTTGTGGTAGTCGTTCGTGACTGATGGATTATAACAAGCCAAACATAAACCCTGAAAATTACCGTTCCAAAATGGTTTCACACAAAATTGGAAAAGAAATACAATAATCATAAAAGAAGTTTGTGTGACACCGTTTGCTACATCCAAGTGCTAAAGTGACTTTTTTGTTATCTAAAGGTTACATGAAAATACAGACCTCAAAATCTGTCAGGAAAAGTTGGCCTGCGGTTTTTGTCATTTCGAGGACCAAGCCATTATATTATAGGTTCTACCTTTCCACTGAGGTTGCCGACACAGGAATTGGAAAGTTTATATGAGGGAAATACAGACAGGAGATTGGCGGGTACATAAAAGGCGGTGATTTCAGAGGTTCATTGACAACAGGCAGCGCGGTGTTGATAGAGAGTGCAACGGGGGGGGGTATTGACAAGCACGCTCCACCGAGCGAGTCATTGTCCGTGCCGTGACGCGCGGATGGAGGCTAGGACTATACCGTATACGGGAGCGATCAGTCTATGAATCTGGATCGCATCCACGACCAGCAAATTTAGTTGAATGGTCTCACAATGTGGCAACCTTGGGTATAGTGTTTGAGCTCAGTCGGCCGGTCCTTTAAAGACCATCTTACAGTTTGAAAGCGGTCCCAACCTATATCTCGAGTCCGCAGGCTTTCCTAGTTCTCTGCAGGCTGCGGCAAGCTACCGGTAGCGTTGATGAGGTCAGTTTTGAAGGGGGTAACATGAGGCTCCTCTTCTCTGAAAGCGGCAGGTCAAAGTTACAAACAAGAGAAAGGTTTCTGCTTTCTTCAATTTCTGAGGGGCAGGAAGCAACGATGGCAGGCCTCATGGAAACCACGTCTTAGTCCCCTTTACCTTCGTTGCCTTTATCCGCGGCCGACGAAGATTTTGCATTTTTCTGGTTTATCCTCAAACACCGGCATATGAATAACAACAACATTTAGTTGAACAAGAAAAAAAAGGCTTTAAGTAACCGTTTAATTACATCAACGTGTTTCATTCCAAATCCAATGTCATTTAGCCCCGAGTATTTTCTTGCCTGTGGCAACTTGAGAATCATTTGTGACGTTTTATATGGCCAGATCACGAGTAAAACTTGACAAAAATGCATCACTCTTATCATTAAATATGAGTCATCCCTTCCAAAAGTAATGCTCCATTGTGCAATGCTCAGCATCTGAACAAGTGGTATACGGCCATAACTAACAGTGAATTAGTATACCTTCCTATTATGTGTTAGACAGAGATGAACATGAGATGGCTACACAAGCTTTTTCTTCTTAGCTTTTGCCACCTCTTCTTTAATTGATTTTTGGGATTTGTATCCCTTCATATTTTTGTATTACACCCTACCATGAAGACGAAATAAATGTTACCGCTACTTACTGAATTAAATTAATGATATTAAAAGGAATCGGTTGAATGCATACTTGTTCTTAGGCGAATCAGCGTGGAATATTCTGCGCCCAGGCGACATTTTCTCTATTTCAAAAGAGCAATTCTTCACAAGGATTTTACGAGTGTGCTGTACAGAAGAGTGGCGTACTATGAGTGAGCGTCCTTGTTTGGAAATACAAGACTTCTCACGTTTTTTTGTCGGGTTATGTTTTATTGGAAAACCATACACTGACTTCTGCCCTAGCCCCTTTTGCAAAACAATAATACCTCCCCAGCAGAACTACTTGGGGATAATATAACGACATGGCCAGTCTCTCTAATCAGGGAGTTCCAGCAGGAGCTTGGAAATGTTTGCCCGTTCGTCTGTCTCACCCAACCCACGCTACCCTGACTGCAGTCCCGACCGCGCTAGTCATTCTCCGTAATGTAGTCGCCGGTCTTCGCTCCCTTATCACCCCTACCCCGCCCCCCCCCCGTGCGAGCTGCAATGAGCTTCTTATCTCTCCACTTCTTCGTGATTGAAGAACTTAATCCCTTTGATCGTAATACATCATAGCTGACTGAGGGCCCTATCTCTTTGACCAGTCTTAATAGGCATTCTAATGTTATTTTCCCCAAATATAGGCAAACATGGAAGAGAATAGGGGACCAACTGTCAAATAAAACTCTCGATCGGTTTGGAAGGTCACAAGGAGATAGGATTAGTCCGTCATGACTGTTGGTTCCGACCCAGAATTTTATTTGAAAGATTGAGCTTTGGATATTTCCCATTCATTTATCTCTGAACAATCCAAGAATTTCCCTTTTAAATTTTAAGCAAATGTCAAAAACTGCAATTTCGGAACTGGTTACGGCAATCCTTATGATAAAACCATGTTAGTGCGCAGGATTTCTAACAAATAGTTTACAACACAAAATTGTCAATCAAGGTCACTTCTGACACCTGACAAAATTTTCTCTCCCATATTCAAGACAAGACAAATCAGGGGTGACTCGGGTGTATTGATTTTATTTCGTGATAGGATTTTCCAAGTTTGACAACAACTAGAATCACGGAAATCAAGTCTGGCGGTGTGGTCTTAAGCCGGGGATTTGGTAGTCCGATTCGGTGTGAAGTGGACGGATGTTGCGGTCGCTGCCTGGCTGTGGGTGTTACGTCTACCCCTCCTAAACCCGCCCCACCAGGTGGAGCGATTTCCCTGACGAGAGGCAGGTACGCGATACAGGTTTCGGGACCGAGTTGGCCCTGGAAAGGCCTGGAAGTGTTCCGTGAAAAGCGCGAATTTTTTCGAGCACGGCTCGACCGAGGGTTTTAAGTGAGCGACTGTAAGCGTACAGGCAGCAGTGTGGTCTGAGACCGTGCATGCACCTTCAATCATGATGCATTTAACTATTATCACGGAGGAATTATACAAAGGGATGTTGTGGATAAAAAAAATCGGATTATTTTGGTCTATCAGCTGAAAATAACAAAAATGGAAGGTCTGTGGCGCAATTATGGGGGGTTAACCCTCCCCAGAGTTATTTTTTTTTATTTCTTAGACTTTAAATAAAAAAGATACAGTATACGCCTACATCTTAATAGCTGCACATTTCAGTCCCCTGTGGGGCAACGGAGGGGGGGGGGCTTAAGCATCATGAGCTATTTGGGGGCGAATTCCCCCACCCCCATAGCAAGTCCTGCGAGCGCCACTAAACCTAGTTACAGCCTATTTCAAGTACCGGTAAGTCTAAATAATTATATTGCCAGCTTCAACAAACTTTTTAAGTCGTGTCCAGGCTCGTACAAATCTCCGGCATAAATCGAACCGGTGTCAATTATCCACTTGTCGGTACACTACACTACAGCTCAACGAAAAGAGGACGCGTGTGGCTCGAGTGTAAATCCTCTACATGAAACAACATCTCGGATGAACATCTCGACTATGATTGTAGGTCAGTCCCGTCGAGGACAACTGTGAAATTTCCAGCGCGCGGTTTAATGTAGGGTACACTGGTGTTCCTTTCGATTCGGCTATCCGTCAGTTACATTATAAGGTTGCATACCGAGTTTCGTTTTCTTACTGGTGTATGCATACGTATCGGATGTGAAGGACAAATAATTTGATTGGAAAACTTAACTGTGAAGAGGTTGAAAATGAACAACTCTGTGAAAATATTCATCTTTGCGTTTTGAGAAGTTTTACTGTAAAGTGTTTTGTACATATTGAGCTAGTGAGAAATACAAACAATGTGCCAAAAATTTCTGGTAACAAAATGTACATAACCCACGACAAACCATTTTGGCGATGGGGGTCAATCTACTTGACAGACTGCTTACAGACAATTTACCGCAGTCCGATACGTACATTCTATGACAGACTCTTCTTTTGAAGATTCCATACCACACAGCAGGGCTGAATAAAAGGATTTTCAAGATTTTTGCCAATATATTTTTTAAATTGTGTATCTTGTATCTGTGTTGGCTATTTCTGTTCCTTTGTTAGTTGTAGGTGTATTATAAGCTGTGCTCTTTGTACTGAGCTGCATTAGGCAAACAAAGAATCTGAACTGAACCGAACCAAAATCCCTAACTCTGGCTCTTTTGATAAATCCTTTTACTTGAATCATGGATGAGTCAACCATTCCAACAGTTGCGTGTTCTCTTTAAACTAATCATGACAACGACCGCCCTATCATTGTAGTGATTTTTGAACTGTACCGTCTCGAGTGGAAGGCAGGCCGGCCAGGTAGTGTGAACCGCCCGCCCACGGACAATAGACCGGGGTACCGACAAAGCGCGATAAAACGAGCACCGCGCGGGTCACGGTGCCGACTCCCTTTATGAACTACCCGCCTCTTCCCATCATTGACTTTTATTAGTTTGCAATAGGCTGGTAAGCAGGGAGGGCTGCCGTGAAAGCCGTACGTCTACTTCCGAAAGCCCGTCATCATATCCGCCGACACCAGGGCGCTAATCCGCTTTAAATCTCCTGTCAGTAACCGGAGCACAACGTTGGGAAACACCGGCGGCCAACGAAGCCGTCTAGCAGTCATCTAATTTCTCCCTCGGACACCATCGAGACAGGTCACGTCGCAAATTCTCTCTCGGCTATTTTACTGTTCACCTTTCATCAAGTCTCTTGCGATTATCTCAGCATGGTTGCTTGCACCAAGAAGACCACAGAGTGCTTCTCCAAGGAAGATCGGACTGAGGCCAGGGCTGAGCTCAACGCCACCCGTCCCCGTAAGTCGACCAAGGGAAAGCAGAGGCCCACGTACCGTCGCCGCGTCAAGCCGCCTTACTCCTACGCTGAACTCATCACTATGGCTATCAAGGTAAGTTGGTCAAAGCATGCTTGAAAATTGCATGAAAAACAACAGCAACCACTTCTTAAAACTTCTGGAAACTTTCGTATCTTTCATATCCTTTCATCCCTGCTAAACGTAATCGGGAAGGAATCCTTTTATTAGTTAGTCATTTAGATTTATTACAAGTACACGTCTTGTCATGCCTAAAACTGATGCTCGTTGACCGTTTCCGTCCTGTCCCATCTTAGTTCGTTTCACGGCAAACTGATGTTCCTATATTTACTCGAACTGTCTGAATTTGAATACATGAAACTATTGGGTACCACAACCTTGTCTTGAGAAATTCTTTCAACATTGTAATTATCATCAACCAGACTAGTTTGTCTTTTGATTTCTCAGCCGACTGGAAATTTCCGTCCGTCAGATTGCCCCATTTAACTTTGATACGTGTTTCTGAAATGTTTACAAATTTTTTAATTACTCTTTAGAAGGTAAGAAGTTTTACTTAAGTTAAGGATCAAACATTACATTGAGAAAGAGGAGTATTTGTCCAGCTGTCTTGAGACCCATGAACAGGTCTTGGGATTGAAAATAATTGCTCTTTTAATGAATAAAATCAGTTTAGAAATAGATTTCATCTCTGAAGGCTTAATCTCTTTTTTTCTGTACACAGTCTTCGCCGTCTGGCATGCTTACACTTCGAGAGATTCTTGACCACATGGCGAACTCCTACCAGTGCTTCAGGGGATCATACGTGGGCTGGAAGAACAGCGTTCGCCACAATCTGTCAGCCAACGACTGCTTTGTCAAGGTGCTGCGGAACAGTAGCCGGCCGTACGGAAAGGACAACTTCTGGACTCTCAACGCCACCTCCAGCTGCCCACAGAGCTTCCACGCCGGCGGGGAGACGCCCCGTGCTGCCTCCCCGTCCCAGCCGCCCTTAAGGTCACCATCGCTGCATCTGCCGAGCCCGTCCCGCGCCTGCTCTTCGTCGTCGTCACCGTTACCGGGCAGTGCCGGGTCGGCCCACTCCGAGGGGGCCATTGCACCGTGCATCTCTATTTCCGCCTACCCTGCCGCCGGCAGCGTTCAGCCGGCTCCCGAGCCGAGGTGGCCAAGTCCCATCCCAGGCTGCATGCCGGAGACCGCAATTCCTGCCCCCGCGAGCCAGACCTGTGACGAGTGGAGTCTTCTTGACGATCTCTTCGTTCCTGAAGCCGACATCGACTTGGAGCTGTACCAAGACGACTCAGAGTTCGCCGGTGCCTTGTCGACTCAGGTGAGAAAGTCATATGATTTTGAAGAGCTAATTAGGACATTAAGAACTCAAAGAAAAATGCTTGAGTCCAGTTGTTTATTTCACTTTTACTTCAAAACAACAAAACAATTAACGGCCGGTATAAAAAACACTACCTCCAGCTACTGATGAAGTGCGGCATATTTTAAGAAACTGCATGCGTAAAACTAAAATGCGACAAGTGATTTTTGTTTCTTTTCTGCCCATTTCCTCAAATAGCCTCCTATCCCGACTCCAAGCGTCCCGAGTCATGCAGGCCGGCACCACTCTTCCTACGCCCGCATTAAGACGGAGTACACCTCAAGCTATCCGAGGTACCAATCAGCAGACTATCCGCCGTACCAAGCCTGCCACGGCTTCTTTCCTCACGGTGTCACCGAGCGGGATCTGGCGTTCCTCCCTTACATCTCATCCGACTCCGACGTCTCCGGCGTGACCAGGCTCAGCATCAAGTCCGAGTACACCACCACAACATCCGCCGAGTACTCCTCCGAGTTCGACTACCGACTCCCGCATCCCTGGGCCCGCGCCCCGTCATCGGAGACAACTGTCAGCTACAGCAGCACCGTGCACCAGCCGGCTGAGCACCGCCTGGGTTCCATAGTCGCTTTAGCCATCCGAGGAAGTCTGAGCCTGGACTTTGACGAGTCGGCTCTGCAGGCCATCGAACGGTCAGTCAGACTTCTTGATCGCCAGAGACCTGATGATCACATGTGCGCCTGATTGGACTTTAAGTGAATTGCGCTATATTTGATAGTTTTTCAAGATCTTTATTACAGAACTATGAAGAGAACCTCCACGTGAATATTCTGACTCTGTAATGCTGCTTTACGATTCCTTTATTTACAGCATCTTATTATAATCTACAAATCTTTCTTTCAACTTGGTGTTAATGTAGGTTTATGCAGGAATGTCGACATCTGTGCACTAAATGTAGGCTTGACAAATGTTTGAGCAGAATGTGTGACAGGGAACTCAGCAGAAAGTATCCATACTACAATCACCGTAACAATTCTTTAAATTTTGCTCGTGGATTTTTGCCTATACGATCATTAATGTTTCCGAGACACATGTTTGATGTTTATTTTTAGATTGGATATTCATATCGTGTGTTGTGAATAAAACCAATCTAGTATTTCAGTTTGCCTATGTGTTATTCAGTTTTGGTGCCTTTAACAGTGTACCTTCGTTTTTCAGTAGATGTACACGCAATTAATTAAAGACAGTCAAACATATGGGCGCTACAAAGAAACAAACTTAAGATTAGGAAGGTACAGTTTCTATAACATCTCAGTTAAAAGAAGTTACAGTATTATTAAAAATAATCCGTAAATCTGAGAAACTGTCGTAACAATGGTGATTCTATGTACATGTATGGGGCAAATTGAAGTTAATACCTTCTCCCTGAAACATATACAAATGTACAATGTTTCAATTACAATGTTTCAAGTTAACAGAACATCAATTGAATAACTGGCGTCTGAGAAGAAACTACAAAAAAAGGAGACTCTCCACCTTTTGAGTGATTTACTAAAGCCCTGAGTCTCTAGATAAATTCTGTTCATTGTCCAACGTTAGCTAGCTATCTACGTATCCATGAAACTGAAAGTTTTCATTCCTATTCCAAGCCGTTAATTAAGCAACTCCAGCTGGGTGTCCAACTACACGTGCGTATCAAGTCAAACGTATATGCAGTCGGCACCATCAGTGGATGGTAGGGCGCTAATTTGGGAATCACATTGTCTACGGTTCACTGTTCCTTCAAAATAATGAAAACTGCGCTTACAACCTCGGAATTACATGCTTACTCATCGAAATCTCTCAGTCACCATCGGAAATTGTTTCGTTTGCAAGTATCCGTTTGAATATCATCTGGGAGGTATGACAGGCCTAGGTAAGTTTCCAAAAGGTTAATCTGTTCTGTAAAGTGTACATGACATGTTTTTTGGTGGCAGAAATACCCACGTCCTCAAAATTGAACAGAACGGCCCTGGGGAAAAAGTCAATCGTGCTTATGCCAAGCAAATGAGATATTCTTTCAGGGAAATAACTTAATCTACATGTGCCAGATGGACATAGCCAATCAGGTGGGTCCTGATATTTCACGTCACAGAGATTTAAATTTTTCCGCTGAGTCTGTGTGGCGTCCTCATTCAAAATCGAGACAATAAGCCATTTGCGCGTTAAATTTGAATAAAATCTGGTACACTGAGTTATCTGATTGCACATAGCCTAAACATAACAATTTGAATTCTCCAGACTAAAGACACTGTTGCTATACCTCGTGCTTTTCGGAGCGTGCTTTTGCTTGGCGACTACTATCACTGGAATGGACTGGTTCCTTTGTGCCCTTCTTTTCCATTGAGAACAGTGCATTGTTGCAAGACGTCTCTTATGTAACTAAGGAAAAGCTTGCCCCGAATCACGAGGTATAGCAACAGTGGCTTTAGTATGGAGAATTTCAATTGTTATGTTCACGTGAATTTAAAGAACTCAGTGTACCAAATGCTATTCAAATTTAACTCATAAAAGGCTTTTTCATAAACAGTTCATTGGATTACTTCCCTCGCGCTCACCTGTCGTGTCGTCGTTTAGACGGGCTTACGCAAGCTGTGATTAAATCTGCAACACAAATTCGACTTGGCGAAAGCAACGGACATCAACGCACGCATTTCTGGCCTTTATTTCACTGAACGTCTCATATGCAGCAAGGTATGAGACAGAGAGAACCCACCCCCCTGCTTTGTGTTGGTCATTGTCTTGCAGGAATCTGGGGAATTCCTTTCAGACATCTTGGGGGATGTGTTAAGTAACAATAGTCTGGAATATGTATAGGGATTGGACATGTTGGGGGGTACCCCTCAGTCTCATTTCTTGCTGGGTATAGAACGTCTTCACTTGAGCCAAGTGTAAGCAGACCTACACAGGCCACTCTCGTTCAAGTTGTTTGAGCCAGGCGAATTACCTTGTTGTAACAAGAACCTTGTCAGAAAGGGACTTGAAAAACTTAAGAAAAACTATTACACATTGGAACCCTAAAAATTTACTCGTTGAGACAAATTTTTATCGAGAGCCGACTGCAACAGCCTATGACGTGGAGTGCGGGCCATCTCCTGAGAGTAAATGTAATCACAGAACAAAAGTGCCTTATGCAAAGATTCGTTGTGAAAGAAAACAGTGTCTCAACATAGTGACAAATAGTACAGCAATGTTAAATGCAGTAAAACAACCGGGGCGAACCCCCCCCCCCCAATTCGCTCCGATATTTGTCAAGTAACCTTTTCTTGCGTAGAGTCTTTGATATTTTTTCTAGTAATGTCTGAAGGTCATTGTGACACCAATAAAATTATTTATTCGCAATCTGTCTAAGCAGAAGCACCCCCTCATCGGCTGAAACGAGCCACGTTAGTGGAAAGTGCTCATTTTGTGGGTAGTGATGAAACAGTCATTCGTAAATCAGCGAAGTGCAGTTTCCACCAAAGGAACCTCCGTTGCTAGGAAAACTGCGCCCTCTCTTGGTCCCACTCGGGTTGAATAGTCTTCCAAAGTAACCGTCTCTCATCAGCAGTAAAATAAAAGTAAATTTTTTTCCTCAAGTTGTGGCTACTTTCTCCAAGATACAATGTTTAGATAGCCTAAAGCCGTGATGAATTCTCAGGATCGGTCGAACTTCCTGGTATCTGATATCTGCAGAATTTCCCCTTCTGTGAACTTACCGTGTTCACATTTTGCTGGCTGCTGGCGTTGCGGCAGCTGCATATCACCATACTCCTGATGTGGTGGCGGTACGATGGACCGATGAGGGCGTACACATATGGGTTGACGCTGCTGTTGACGAAAATCAGGACGTTGACGGCGGTGTGCAGCTCCACGTACAGCGGGCTCTCGGCCGTGATTTCAGGGTTGAAGGCCATCCACAGATGAACGGTGTGGCATGGCACCCAAGAGAGGGCGTACAGTATGGTGACCGCCAGGACTATTTTGACACTGCGTCTTCGCCGGGTTTCTTTCCTGCTACCAATCGGTCCAGCTTCCAATAGTTTCCGGCCCATTCTGACGTAGCAGAAAACGATGATACCGGTGGGGATGATGAACAGAGATACTAAGGCGTAAGAGAAGAAGTATTCGACACCCCAGGGGGCGTTGAACTCGTAGCATTTACCCTCTTCCGTCAGACCAGTGACTACGACAGCAGGAATTTGTACAACGAAGGACACTACAAAGGGAATATACCAAAGACACTGATAAGTATGTAACGACACGAGACAAATTCTGAACGTAATACACGAATCCAGTGACCATGGTAACACTATCACTGGTCGTTTGCATAACCCCCATCCACAATGTTGACCACCAAAGTGACTGAAGCAAGCCATCAGGAATGTCTAACGAAACGTCAGTGGATTCGTCTGTAGGCGTATTATGTATGATGCTTACCTTTAAAAATGAGGAATACATGTTGAACTTATAAGCCTACTTCGCAAAATATTGACAGTTTTCGAAACTTCATGAGGTGGTCTGTTAGATATTTCTTGGACTTCACCTCACAAACACGTGTATCATTATACCAAAGCAAACACTTTATTGAAGTGCCATTTAATGCATCATTTCGCTTCTGAGAAGATGATTTTAAGCTGAACTCAAAATGGACATTTTGGTAATGCAACCCCCTGGATGTAATGGCGAAGCATGCGCATCTCTCTAAGCAAACAACAATGCTCAACCTTTAGAAACGTAATTCTATCATGAAATATTACATATTAATCAATCAGGGAGGGTCGGATTACAGAATACTTGTAACTGATTTATTTTAGAACAGTTAGCAGTGGAAAGCCAGAAAATGTGTGTGTGTTTTGTATGTTTTCTAACATTGCTTCCAAAATGGAGTTGTTCTTCATCTCGGACTGCTTTTTGTTAGTTTCAAACTAACGAGTACTTTACACTAGCAGAGAAAGCGAGGACCTGGGGGACAGAATACCCCTCCCCCCACCGGCAGGCCAGGCGGGGTCTAATGGATCGGGCTACGCTGATACCCAATGGTCTCACTACCACACACACAGGCCTACAAATTCCGTACAAGGAATACGTGTTCTCCGATCGCTGCACTTCTTAATGATTATGTTCGACCCCTCAGGGGACTGATTTTTTTCAACATGACTTTACAATACACAACACGTTGGATGTGTCACGTTAATATTTAAGCCCTACTGAGACAACATTCATTACAAGCGCGCACGCGCACGTCATTTTCAAGCAGACAATAGCGGTTTTATGTGCGAGCAGACGACATAAACAAATGAATTTCTATTACAAACAACACTCATTTTCTTCTATTTGTATGATTTTGAAGTAACAGTGAATTTCGGAAGCGTCTAAGAAGTGAATATGAAAGAGCGTGTCAATTGACGAAATAAATCAAGATGGCAAAATCTTTGCGTTTTTAATTGGTGAAGGTTTAGAAGAAAATACGTTTTCTGGAGAAAAGTCCACCGTCAAATTGAAGACAATCTTAATGCATTTATATAATGTACTTATTTTGAATTGTTCTCCCTTCTTCTAAATTAATATCTTTTTTATTACTAAATGACCTATCGGTAATGTAACATAATGTAATTGAATTAAATATTTTTGAAACTGGTTTTGATTAATGCTTTTGAACTTGATAAGTTTATTTTTACCATTCATGCAATATACTGTAATTTCATTTCCCGCAACAATGGGAGAACAACTTTTTTACTCGACAATAAAGTATCTTGAATCTTGAATTCGTCAGATCAAATTTCTATAACTCGCTTCAATTGAATTGTCCCAACATTTTACCGTCGAAACTGTTGCACATCGATTTAAATCAATTTAGTACTGATTCTTAACCCAAAAATGGTGTAAACGAGCACTGAGGTGATTATTCCCTTTCAAAAATATTTTTTGTGGTATCGATACCATCGATAACAAAGAATCAGTTAACTAAAGACAGTTCCGGTTCACCACTTCCACTGCTACAGATACTAGCCACTGATTTCTATCGGGATGGGAGGCCGTGCACTGACTGACCTATAGAGGGTTTGCATGGCTGCCATGTTGCAGGTCAGTCTTTTACAGTGTTCCACAGGGTATGCACAAAGGAGATTTGCCTGTGGAGCAAATGGACTGCCCTGTCTGATTGTTACTCTGCAAGACCCCGATGTCGTCAGGGCAAAGTTGGCACTGAATCGGTTTTGTTCTCCACACACGTACCGGGGACGTTGTTTAAATTAAAAGGAGAATATTCTCATTTCTATCATAGTACGTTCGGCAAAGCATGAACTCTAGCCTGTAAGTATGAGACTTTAGTTCAACATGAAATTAACCATAGGCCTAGATTAGATTTGTGACAAATTATCCGGTTACGAAATGTTATTGACGTGATATGGCGCGAAAGTTTGAGTCAAATTCAAACTCATTTTGCAAAATTTGTTCCCCTGTAGATGTCGAATGCCTGCAGGCAATCGACTCAGACACTCTTTAGTTATCAAAAACTCTGCTTTCTGTGACCAGGAAAACCTATTTTACGGTTTATCGGCAACGGTTACTTCCAAAAAGAACCAAAATATCAAGTATATTTTCTGACACAGGGCATGACATCAGTGCTACTGAAACATCATATGCTTCATAGTGGATTTATCATAAACATTTCGTTGTTTTACTCTCTTTCCTGAAAATGCATCAACACCACGACGGCCAATGTTAAAGTCAAAGAGTGTGAAACCAGGCCCCAACTGCCTGTTGATATGCTGTTGTCAAGCACAAACCTTGGGCATGCGCTTGTTGGCAGTGAACGCCATAAACATAGTCCTATTCGGCGCGGAGTTAGCTAGAAGTGCAGAGTATTTAATAATTCAGAGTCTCTAGACCGGATCCGGTTACCGGGTAATTTATCATTTTAAGCAGACCAAATTTTAAGAGTACAATAGCATTTATAGGCATAAACAATGAAAGTAGTAATATTAATGGACCTGCCCTGGAAAGAATGGACTGAACGCTGCACGTTCACAAAGCTTCTACACAATCAAGGGGCTATTAGTGCATGACTATTCACGATACATCGCATTAAATGAATATGCATGTTGAGGAATTTGCCATTTGATTAAACTATTGCACCTGTTATTCTCTCTTTTTACACGTCTTTTCTTAAAGTATGACAAATCGAGAGGGAATAGGGTCTGGCACTTTAAGGCGTAGCCGTTTATTATCCCGGAGTTCAAACTTTCGAAGGTTTATAGTTTAATTGGACGCAAACGTTTACTGTGGACCTATTTCCACTTTTCTCTCTTCAAATAGACCATGCAGTTATCAATTGATGACTACTGACAAAGTGTTCAGCCTTGTGAAAAAGGTATGCTGTCAGAATGATTGATTAGGGCCTATTCCTGGTGTTAATGCGTGATTAATAATAATGTGTTAACTGCTACTTCCTGGAACCTAGACGTACTTATGATAAGTTAAATTGGAGTGAGCACTGTCATGACATTTACATTAGGTCCATCAGAACATTAGGCCTTATTAAACGAAATTTTAGTAAATATTCCGCTACTATCTTGAAGAAACTTTATATCTCTCTTATCCGATCTCAACTGCATTACTCTTGTATAGCCTGGGATCCATATAGGCTTAATTATTCTTCGGTTGTAGAAGGTGTTCAAAACCAGGGAGTGAGATTTATTTTGTAAAGACTGGCATACTAACTATAATACTCGTATTAATAAGGCTGGACTGATCTCCGAACCAGAAGAAAGTTCTCCCGTTTGGTTATGTGTTTTAAAGTTCTTAATGACCTTACCGACATTTAATGCCCTAAATAAGTTTTATCCAGCTTTAAGAATTGGGTGAAAAGATAATAGTCTTAAACTACACACCCCTTTTGCCCGTACTGACTGTTTTAAATATTCATATTTAGTCCGTATACAGCTAATGAGTGGAATAGTCTACCCGATGATGTGATCCAGTCTACATCTATAAATATGTTCAAAAGCTCTCTCCTTGATTGTTTGACTCGTTAATTGATTTTTATTTGTTTTTATCTTGCTTTCTACCATAAAATCTTATCGTTTGATATTTGTCCTTTTCTAATGTAAACTCATATTTTTATAGTTTATCCTTAAATGGGGCATATATTAAATACTTTAAGATACTTTAAGATACTGTATCGTTTTTCGTTTTAACTTTTGAATTTAATGCATTTTTATCATAACTTTTGTTTCATTTCTTTCCGTTGTTAATTTTATCTCTTTTTCTGATTTGTTCTCTTAGTAAACCTGATATATATATTTTATGTATTTTTAATAATTACTCGTTCTGCTTATTATATCCTGGAAGTGGTTTAAGATGAATTGTACGGTCTCTACAAGAACCCTTGACAGTCAAATAATAATAATAATAATATTAATAATAATAAAAAATAAAATGATTATTGTGCCCTTTGAAAAAAAAGTACCATGCACAAATAATACTGTGTGGTACACATGCCATGTATCAACAGAAACGCTTCGATCTAGTCGGCTTGCTGGAATATAATTATCAAAATATCATGACAACTGACGACATTGTGTATAATGACGTCGAAAAGTTGGCCTAGTTCCCTTTCATCACTGAAGAGAAAAAAAAAACGAGTTAAAGTGGAAAAGTGTTATACCCAGCCATATTCCGAGGAGTATTGACAGCAGTGCAAGGGGTGATCGACGCTTGAGGGTCTTCAGGGGGTACACGATGAGGCGGTAGCGGTCGTAAGAGAGAAAGGCTAGGGTAAGGCTAGTCACCTCAGCAGACACCTGCAAAGAAGAGAGGGTATCTAGTCAAAGTGTTAATGAGGCCAAACACGTTTTATTAACAGATTTCCTGGCTACTTTCGACAAAAAAGAGCTCGATTTCATCAACACGCATTCAATTTTGAACACACCTTTTAATTTGATTTATACTTGGGTTTCGTTTTCACAGTTATCGCATCTAGTTTTGTTTTCATGCTCACGAGTGTGCGTTTTAGGCATTCAAGACTTCATATTTACTACTTAATTGTAGAATTATATCGACACAGACTTTATGAATTTGTTAAATCCTATTAAAAAGATAAGTGGAAATGATGTTTAATTTCTTTGATGTTTTCTAATTTGTTAACGCTCATTTTCAACTTAGTTTCTTTGTTCAATTTAGATGGGATATGGCTTTTTTTGAGACCATGCTGCATATTTGGTTCAGTCATTATAAATGTTCTGTATAATACAGCTGCCCTATATATCATTTCTCTTGATTTGAATCATTCTTTATAATTGAACATAAACACGAAATCTTGTAAACGTGGAGGAGCTCTCATTTTACGATTACAATCAGATGGCATACCCAGCAAGAGATGAGACCGAGGGGTACCCCCCCAACATGTCCAATCCCTATACACATTCCAGACTATTGTTACTTAACACATCCCCCTAAGGTGTCTGAAAGGAATTTCCCAGATTCCTGCGAGACAATGACCAACACAAAGCAGGGGGGTTCTCTCCGTCTCATACCTTGCTGCATATGGAATGTTCTTCCCTCCCCCTACTTTCAGTTGACCAGGCCACGAGGCTTCTTCACTAACTTTCTTATTGTATGCATCCCAGGCCTTCAGTTAGAGTCCCCCTTCCGTGTTGGTCTTTTGTGTAGTGTGCCCAGTTTTCCTTCACTGACAGGGAAGTATTGTTTAGAGTTGAATCAGTGGTGGGAGTCCACTAGGACGTTTTTCCCTCTTCTCCTGACAACTTGGTTAAATAAATGTTCACTCCAGATGTGCTGAACAATAAACACGAATTGAAGGCAAACTTTATTCTGTTTCTGTTTCGTTAGTAAAGTAAGTGGCCAGGGTCTAGCAAAAAGCTGCTTATTTTATTGTTTAAAATTAGTTTGAGCTTGTTTGAGTGAAGTGTAACATGGCAAAGGTGTGGAAAGTACAAGAGCTAGGGTGAGAGTCATAAAGCCAGATGATTCCGCCATGTAAGCACGACATGTGGGTTGCTCCCATAAAGTATTTTCTTGTTGGCCATAAGACACTATTTAGAGGCAAGTTTGCCCAGAAGACACTATGTATTCAGGTGTCTTGTGTAAACATTTAGCCATGGTCGAAACTGAACCGAGGGAACCCTCCCTGTCACAGTTTGTTGTCAAGGCCAGCAATGCAGCAGACCTCAACCACCTCAAGTATTTTTACAGCAGAAAATCGTAAGTGTGAATATTCTATTTATTGTGGAAGATTTACCTATACAGTGCATTGGTGTTTTGATAAACTGAATAATAGAATTTATGGATGCAAGGAATTCTATTGTACAGAAAATTGTCAAAGTTCAAGGACTCACTTGTATAATTTAATCCAAGATTTTAGAAGTTTAAATTTAATTATGGTCAGGATTTTTCCTTTCCAAATAAGATACGTAGTACTTGTAAGGTTTGACAATTTCTTTAAATTTAGGTGGCCAGTGGTCACTTTTGATGACAACCACACTACCCCTGCTACCCGTGCTACGCGGTGTCACAAGTCTGGACGACAAGTCATTGATCTGGACGACAGGAATTCTCCCATTGCCTGAGCCCAGTGCTAGGATTGAACTGACAGGGGTTGATACTTCGGGAGCCGGATCTTAGTTATGAGGGATGTATATATTGAATACATATCGCTGAAGCTATTTATCAATTAGAAAACTAAACTTTTTGTGGGCTTTATGAAAATAACTCCTTTTCCGTGTGATTGAAAGAAGCCCGAACTGATTTGTAGAAAGGTCTAATTGGCTTTTTATTTCACTGATTGAGGTTGAATTTGATTTCTTTTGGAGTAACAGATTACGTTAACTTGGATATGTGGGAATAAGAAAGCAAAGAAGCAATTTAACTGTTGATTACTATTCATTTAAAACTTCACCCGTTTGCATACAATCTGCTAAAATCACTGATAAAATTTATTCTCTTTATGCCTGTGTAAAAGGTTTTGTAAATAAAGCAGATGTCCAAGCAGAAAGAAGAACATTTTAAAACTGAGAAGTTTCCACACCCATCCCTTTGGCAGGCACATTCAAATGTTGGTGGGAACAAATTTAGGGAATTTGCTTTAACACAAACACAAAGACTTTTATAGTTTCCCAATGAATTTATTCACACTATTCCCAGTAAGATCCACTTTTGTAGATATATACGATTCAAGAAGTACATGCCATAGGGAAAAATATTAACAAAACCATGATAAAATTGTGGCATGTTAATTCAACTGATTGCTTGACTAACTCTTTTCAAGGTGACAGACTTATTTGAATAACGGAGCGAAGTTGAATAAACTTATCTACAGGCTGCGCAAATAACGAAAGCAAACGCTCTTTTGATGTTGGAATGTACGGAGCTCTGGAAGTGCCATCCGACTTGTTGAGATCTTGAAATTTTTTCTTGGGATGACGACATAATAAAGGCAAGATGTAGACATCCTGTGATAATTTATCATGGGATGAAGACATCCTTAAAGTTGAATAACGACATCCGGAGATAGCTTATCATGGGATAATGACATCCTCAGATAATGACGATATTCATTATCTCAGGATGTCGTCATCCAGAGACATCCAGCAAGTGTGATGTCTACCCTTTTACGATGTCGTCGTCCCGTGCCTATTATTTCCGGATGTCGTCATCCAATTGTTACGATGTCGTCTTCCCATGATAAAATATTGCAGGATGTCACCATCCAACTTTTACGATGTCGTCATCTCGAGATAAATTAGCTGCAGGTATCCTTGCCTGTATCCTGTCGTTACCCGAGAAACAATATTTCAGGATCTCAACATGTCGGATGGCACTTCCAGAGCTCCGTAGTAATGCTTACGTACAAGGGAGTATTTCATTTTAGCCGTCACCAGAGAAAAGTCCGAAATTGTAAATATGGTCTGATTCCCACCTTGTGAACGAGAAGTCACGACGAACATGTAAGCGACGAACTAGACTAAGATTTGTTACAGAATTTTTCAGTTAAAAAAAAAACCAATTACTGCGCGTGTGAGCGGCAAATTATCATTTATTTAGGGGGGCCAGACAACTCAACCGTTTGCCAACTCGACTTCGGACAACTCAACTGTTGAGACAGCTTAACCTCCCGAGGGTAAAAGGGAGAGACGAGTCGTCCTTTGAGACAAGTCGTCCTTTGAGACAAGTCGTCCGTTGGGGCACTGTCCGCTCAGCCCAGTCGTCTGCTGAGGCCACAGTGTGAAATACGATGCATTAATAATGGATGGAATTTCACGTAGTAGACGGACAAGCCTAATTTCTGCAGGTATTATGAAAATGGTTGCCGAAGTAAGCCAATCTTTGCACAATCAATCGATCTTGCTGACCCAGCCACGTATACCAAGTTCTAGATTGTTTGAAATAAAATCCTACCTCCCTTTGTGTCGTCCGTCAGTTCAACATTCTCAGACAGATTCTGATTAAAATGTAAAATATACTTCTTGTTGAACAAAACTTGTTCTCGGAAAATTTATAGAAAACAAATTTTGGCCAGATTTCTGACTCGCAATTTGACATTTGTGAACGGTTTGTCAAAAATCACGGTAGCGGAAAAAAAATTAACGAATAGTTTACGGGGCGATATGTCACTCACTACGAGTGATCCCACTCTTTTCGTACTCAACAGTCATATAAACTTTTGCATCTAATGTTGGTTTAATCAAAATGACTTTCAAAGTCGGGTTTTATTAAAACTGACCGAAAACTAAACGCATATTGTTTCCTAGTTTTGGATTACTCATTAAGTGCATGCACGCAATATACGTTTCTTACTATACGGAAGTTGCAGAAATAAATGCGACGTATAAATGCGTTCGTCGACTGTGCGGCACAAGGTAGTATCGTTGATGGCTCTCACTGTGCAGCTGGAAAAGTTGAGTCGAAATTTACGCAAGATTCACTTTTTATATTCATTGGAATGCTTATTTATGAACCAATTTTCTCTAAATGAAGAAAATTTTTAGTAGAAAATAAGCTTTTTACAATGGTTCTGGCTGAAAATGGATTTGCCGCTCGCGCGGTTACTTTCCGGAAACCGATCCAGAACGAAGAAAAATGTTGTCTTTTTCGTCGATTATGTACTTCTGAATTAAGAGTTTAAAATTTGAAATTAATTTGGTATCATTTTTAGCACACAAGGTATTTGAGGATTTTTTGCAGCTGTAAGCTGACTAGGGAAACGACTTTTTAATGTGTAGAGATCTCACTGGTCGAGTTGTCTCTCTGTCAAAGTCGAATTGTCTTAAATTTTGTAACAGACGACTTTGCAAACGGTCGAGTTGTCCGGCGTCGCGTTGGCAAACGGTCGAGTTATCCGACATCCTTTATTTGAATTTGCCAGCGACGGCTAGATATCCACTGCCTTAATTCAATACGATTTTGAATGAACTCGAGTTAAAGTTGACGATGATTTTTAATGAAAGTGCCCAGAAATCATAATTACTTTTCTTCTGAAATCGTGTGTCTTGATTGACAAATAATTTAAATGGAAGGCATAACTTACGTATTGTAGATAAATGGGTACTTTGCAGCCAAGAAGGGCCGACAGGTTGATCCCAGCTGTGTCTGCAGCGGTCGGCACGGCGTCCAACAGTAGCAAAGTCAAGTCAGTCAGGGCTAGATTAGCAAACGAGTAGTTGATGACAGTGTGCATGTCCTTGTAGCGGATGACGATGAATACGACCATGGCGTTGCCGAATAATCCCATCGCTGCCACCACGGAGATGACCACAGTCAATGCGATCTTGGCTGCCGAGCTGAAGACAAATTCCTCGGTTGGCAAGCCGTCCGTGAGGCCCGCAGCGAGGTTGTTTGTCGTATTGACCATCGCCGCACTGTGGATATTTGTAATTGTTACATTCCAGTTGGCATTCATCTTTGATACCGGGGCCTTTGATATTCTTACTTAAATGCAAAACAACAAATAACATCTACTAAGCGTCCCCTTGTAGGCCCGTTGTTGAATGAAACTAAACAGTGGTTAAAACCAAAAAGTTTTAGTGACCAGCTATAAAGGATTCTTTGTCATCGCATCACTGTGTCAGTTACTTGGTTAGTAGCCCTACTGTCAGGAGAGTCAACTTTTGCCCACCACTTACCGCGATGGAACTGAAAAACAAACTCTGCGTACTTTTTGGTCGTGCCCGCTTATAAACATCCGCAACGGGCGGTGAACTCTGACATGTGTCGCTTTCAGTCAACATCAATACCTCCAAACCGTTTGTTTTCCGATTATTTTCAACCAGCATACAACATGAAAGGAGTTATGACATAAAACTGGTGAATCAAGACAAACGGAGTATCCACTGTGTTTCATGAAGGATTTCATTGAACGCACGCTCCCACCGAGTACTAAACTTCACAAGCACTTTGGCCAATTTTCCGATTATGAATCCAAGGTGTATTTCTTTTTCATTGCGACTGCTCACACACTAATTCTGGTCAGCGCATCACGAGAAACGTGCCCCTGAAACCGCCGAGGGACTGTCACTCAATAACATTCCAACTTTTTCTCGATGGATACTCCATTTTTGAAGAAATAGAAACGGTGACTCTTCGTCTCTTTCTTGTGCTAATTCATTCGTTGCATCTTTCCTAAGGAAAGTGCGTTTTGGGGAGTCGTACAAACCAACGTGTATAGAGTTGAGTTTTAGAGAATTATAATGTGGCTTTTTGTGGAGACCCAGTGGCAGACACTCTATTTGATGCTAATTGTCATAATAAGCTTGGAGGCGGATCCCTATCCTCTGTCGGCACCAGTATGACGAGTGAATGTGCTGCATAATGTGTACAATTAACTCCACACTTGACGCACTTCAAATGCAAGACAGACCAAGGTAGAAACTCCAAGGCCTCGCGTTACAAAGAGGCTCGACACAATCAAAAATCCTACTTCCGTTGTGGGATCATTTGTCTTTGTGCCCAGTGGGATTGGCAGACAATGTCATGCATGAAATATTTGCCAGAGCTGTCAAGACCGCACATTACTTGTCCATGTGCGATTTGGATTTCTGTTGCCAAGCAACCGCATCATCTGGGCAACAACCATTGTCAGTCCAGTGAATTCCCTTGAATTTTTTTTTGCCGGAATTCCAAATGTTTGGCCTGTTTTCTGGGAAAATAACTCTTGACACAATCATAGAAGGAAATAAAAAAAAAAAAAAACTAACAGCGGCTCTGTTAACTTGTCCTCTGATAATGAGTTCATTTAAACAGATGAACGTAGCAAGGTGATATCTGAATAAATTAAATTGTATAACCGACCACCAGGGCAACATGATCATTGACGCTCATTTGGATTTTGGTTGCCTAGCAACCGCACCATCCAGAGCAACAACCTAAATTAGTTTGCTTGAAATCACTTTCCTGAGAAGGATAGCTCTTCACGTAAACCAATTTGGAAAGCCTAAATTTGTCCTGATGGTGGACCTTGACACTCGAATTGGCAGCTCCAAGAAGAATACGAGCGACGGTTAAAGAATGGGTTTTATACAAATGAGATCATATAGCGTAATTTGACCAACAGAATTAGGAGCCATTACTGCGGTGGCACAACGCTCGTGGACAGGTAGTACGCGCGCATTACACGCCTCTTCGACCAATCCGGTTCGTAAGGGTGACATCACTTCAGTTTTAACCACGCCCACTGCACAGGTGCACTGCACATAGAGTTACATGCATTGATTGCCGTTTACGTGGAACAGTGGAACCGGAAGTTAACGCGCAACTTCAGCGATCGTCCGATGGGAGCCTGCAAATCGTGGCGCGTCTGCCTTTGTGACGAAGTCGCTTACGAACCAGATAGGGTGTCGTGATTTGCTGAACGCAGCTAAAGTGTGTGCGTGTGAGTGCGGTGCCACCGCAGTTTGGGCGTCTCATCGGATTTGTTTTTAAGTATAGAGATGGACCTAGTAAAAGAAAACCTCGAAGTAATAAGAGTAAGATATTCAACCCACACGCAGGATCACATGATGATGCTTATTAGGATCTTTGCTGTCCAGCAAAGGTGTCATCCGAAGCAACAATTCCATACCCGGTTAAAGTGCTTAAAATTAAATGTACACCAGACACACAGTCAACATTTCCATTCCTAAGCTGATTTAACTACCCACTCGAAATGAACCTGTACTGGTAAGGTTTTGCGGGCATATTTCAGGGAAGGTAACCTTCGAAGGATTTTGTAAATGGTCAGTCGTCGTGTTCCCTGGCGATGGTCCTCTCGTTCGCGTTCTACGACTGTTCATAAAGTTTTGACATTCTCATTGCATTATAGGAATACGGTCCATTCACAATAGCGCGCCTCCAAGAGTTTGAAACACGTTGGCCAATCACGGTGAGTGAAATCTTTCGACCCTTTCCAAATGCGCATTGGGTCGACAGATTTCGCTCATTGTAATTGGCCAACGCGTTGCAAACTCTTGGAGGCGAGCTATTGGGAAAAGCCTGTATTGGTTGACATGGACCTTTGGAGGAGTGAACCAGTCAGATTCCAATCAAAATATTTTCTTAATATTTCTTGGGTACCTGCTCATCAAGTCAGAGATGGATGTCTAGTATACAAGGAGCATTTTCTAAGACAAAACTAAAGTTTCAAAAAGTATACGAGGAGAAAAAAAATGGCCTTATATGTCACTATAACCAGTCACTATTGGCCGAATTTTGAACGTGATTGTTCAGTGCAGGGTGAATGAGCTTCGAGCCCGTATTCTGATTACCCAATACGAGCTCGTTGACGTTCACGGTATTTAGTCCAGAGATAGAAGATGATGTTCGATTCACAAATTGTCTCTTGTGGTTTATCTCATCTTCAAGAGAGCTACATCCTAGGGAAAGAGGATGGTTTGATTCTGAGTATTTAATGAGGTGAAACTGATTACAGTTTTGCGGGTAAGCTTCTTTTATGAGCATAAAATACATTACTGATTGTTACCATGTCCCGCGATATATTGTCGAATGTAATAATATCAGCAGTTTTCATTTATTTTTACCGGGGATAAATTCATTTAATGTAAGGTACATAACTTCGGAATGGTATTGACTGAAGACGACGCAGTTGCCTGGCAATTTATATCGCGTGGTTCCGGGGGTTTGATGTCCCATTCAGTCCATTATTCAGAGTTCGGCTTTTATGTTCAAATCTTTCTGTGACCTCATATAACAGGATATCATTCTGTAGTATTCCTCTAAAATCAGCCTTATTTTTCATTTCGTTTGATCATGTCATCTGCTCTTGGTATCAAGAAACCTTAAGATCTGAGAAATTGAATACCCCACAATTTTCCGTTATCAGAAACACCAACCAAACATTTGCTAATTTTTGACGTACCCTTATTTTATCTTTTCCAATAACTAAGCGACTCCTTGACTCCTTGGCTAAAATGTCCGCAGCGGATGGTGAACCTTCTGAGAGGCTGAGCTAGGCAAATGCTGCCCCGTGCTTGAAACTGTTTCCCCCGAATAAAATCTGCGCGTAGCTGGCGGTTTGGAAACTTTTCCTCATATTGTGCCGAAGTCTAATGATAAGGCGCAGAATTAGCTCCAGGTGACCTCCTCGGCCGCCACACACACTGTGCGATTCCCGCAAGTAGACAGGTTCCCCCATCCCAAAAAAATATTCAGCAACGGATTGCATAGTCTGGTTTCCTGGCCAAGGATTCCTTGACGACCTTGATGAAAAATCTTAGGTCAGGCATCACCTACAGATATAAATAGATATGACGAAATGGTCTGTGGTCACAAGTTGAGAGCTCGGATGATTTCGATTTCATTACAGTGGTGCACAGTGGTGCCGGGTGATACCAGGCTGGCCCTGTATCTTTGGGTGTTTCGCCTGGCATTGATTTCGTCCAAGACGACCTTCGATTTTGGTGCAAAGTCAAATATTGTAGGATCAAAAGCTGCCATTAGGATACTAGACTGTACGTTCAACAGCTAGCCTACCTACCTTGCCGGGAATAATCAAACATCAACGGTACCATCCGAACATGCCGAATATAGACGTGACGACTTCGGAATATTTCAGCTATTTTCGGAAACCGGAGGAATTCCCCCAGTCCCGGTCACACGGACACCGGGTGATACCGGACCCTTGATTCGTAGAGTAGTCAGAATCAATGGGCCTGGTATCCAGAGTTACGAATTGCTCGTTTTCATTTGACAGCGTGCCCTTACGTGCGCGCACAACTCAGACGTATCTACCGTCAGCACGGCACCCTTGAGCGTTTTCATCTGGGCCCACCTGCCACTGGAATAATTAGCACTACCCATGACGACTTCCTTCGCAATTCATCAGATAGAGCAAGCCCTGCTGCGCTTTCAATTATTGTTTCCACGTGGATGTTCAAAATGCTGACAGTTGTCAATTCATGTTAAAGAATGATTTTGCTATTTTACCACATGCACACGCAATAGTGAAACTAACTACCAGGAGAAATTTCTCCTTGCTGTGCATAAATAATTCCTGGTATGCACGAATTTGTAGAAAATCGTGCACAACGTGCACTTGCTGAAGGAATGATTATCTAGCACAATAATAACTGTATACAAACCATTCCTTTAGTGTTGAGTATACAGGCCTAACCTAGATTAACACTCTAATTATCCTTCCTGTCTCAACACTTGTACTTAAATGTAAGATGATCGGGTTAAGATTAATTCCTTCCATCGACCGTCTATTACTCTCTATATATTTTCTCAACAGCAATACAGGCGATTCACAATAGTGCGCCTCCAGGAGTTTCAAACGCGTTGGCCAATCACGACGCGCCAAATCTGTCGACCCAATGCACGTTCGGAGAGGGTCGACAGATTTCTCGTGTTGTGATTGGCCAACGCGTTTCAAACTCTTGGAGGCGCACTATTGTGAGTCGCCCGTATTATGAGACAGCATGCACCCTTCATTTGCTTTCGATCCCACACCTAGCCTTCACCGTCAATGAAAAAAAAAAACCATTACAATTAAAACGAACATACCTTGTGTCCTGCTTGCGACCTATAGTATCAAAACTTTCCCTGACAATGGCACATTATCTCTTAAACTCCTTCTGGGTAGCATAAGCACAAGATTGACAACTTCCATGCGGAGGTCACATTCCAACGTCATGCTTTGGGGCTGAACACCACTCTAAAACCGCCCCATTGTTAAGAAATTACATGTATACAAAAATGTTGACTACTTCGAAAGATGAAGTAAGACTAGCCTCCCGGGATTATCAGTGAAGCGTTCTGTTATCCGAGGGATGAAGCCGAGGGAAAATGGAATGTTCCATGGATCACTGAGGGGGAGGCTAGCTTTACTACACCTCAAAAGGAAGTAGTAAATATTTGTTTTATAACCTTTCCCGCAGATTCACCATACTATAACTGGTTAATCCGATCTAAGCACACGTACAACGTATGCCTATTTGCATTGGAAATTTGTTAAAACTCACTTGCATTTTTCATGATTACCCCTTCACAAAAGAACCCAACTCTGCAGCGCCATTGCTCGGAAACACACGCAATGCACACACCCAGTTGCAAAGAAATTGTTTCAAATTTCGTTTTTTGTACCTCATAAAAACGAAGTCGAAAAATATAATCTCATAAAACTGAACTGTGAAAAAAAGACATCTCGTAAAAATGATTTTTCAAAATCTTAAAATATGTTTCTGAAAACAGATCTCGGAAAGACATATCTTCCAAAATGAAGATGCCCGAAGACATCCAGTAATGGAAATGACAACATCCTGCGATAATTTATCATGGGATGACAACATCGTAAAAGTAATATGATGACATTAATTGTCAATGGGTGCCTTGACAAACCACCTCGAAAACATGTGGCCTGAGATGGTTGTGTTTTCAAAGCAGTGTCCCCTGTTGCCATGCATGATATTATTTAGATGATGTCTCACCGCCTGTTATAAGTTGTTAAGTAGACATCTGTCACATCTCAGCCCATTGTATTGTTTAAAATGACCACTTTTTTTTTCTTTCAGGTAGAGTTTTATTGAGTTTCCCAATTTTGGCTGCAACAAGAGAAGCAGCTTGATTTAAATATTCATTTCAGTGTGTGATGTCATTGATTTGCATTTAACAACATTGCTTGGGGCTCTAGATTGTGGACTTTGCATTTAAATGGTAAGTACAAGCAGTTGGGATGTTTCAGTTGGGTGTGGTCTTTTCACTGGGTGCCCTGGAGTGTGAGGGAGTGTGGTGTATTAGAGTACAGGTGTGCTACCCATGGTCAGTCAGTTGTCTTGCTGTAAAGCATTCTAACACCAGTGGTCAGGCTCTCTCCAATCCAGCAAGAGTAATTTCAGCTAAGGGCCTTGTGCTCTTTTGGTGTTGCCATACTTTGTGAGCTTATACATCTTTTCCCCATTCTGAGCAGACCTCCAAATGAACCTGGAACTGGTGACTGACTGCAGACAACCGTGAAGCCACAAACTAGAGCCCTACCTTATGGCAGTTTTACTACCTTGGGTCCGGCCAAGATGCTCTCCACTGTTCTGTGCTGTGTCTAGTGAGGGCGTGACTAGCTGTTTGGCGGAGCGCTACGACTGCCGTAAACGTCCATGGCAGATGCGGGCCAAGATAAACTGTTATTTCACACTCTATTAAAGGCTTGGTTTTATAATTTACTTTGTGTACGACACTTCCGCCTGTGTGGCACTATTTAGCCTGTGTGGCTCCATTTAGCCTGTGTGGCACCATTTAGCCTGTGTGGCACCATTTAGCCTGTGTGGCACCATTTAGCCTGTGTGGCACCATTTAGCCTGTGTGGCACCATTGAGCCTGTGGGGCACCATTGAGCCTGTGTGGCACTATTGAGCCTGTGTGGCACTATTGAGCCTGTGTGGCACTATTGAGCCTGTGTGGCACTATTGAGCCTGTGTGGCACTATTTAGCCTGTGTGGCACCATTTAGCCTGTGTGGCATAATTTACCCTTAGTATCGGGTGAATATTTTCTCTTGAACTTGGAAGTAGCCTTGATGGCTTTCGTAGTAAATTTTGTTTCACTTATCGGTAATTACATGTGGTGTAGTGGTGGAATATTTTGCTGTTGAAGCTGACTTTATTTACACTCCTGTAGTTCTTTTTCTTGTGATTGTACCTTCAAAGCATAGGGTTTGGTGTTTTGGTGTCTAATGCAGTTCTTTTAATCAAACTTCAAAGCAATTCTCTGACGTCAGTTTTTATGAATATCTTCATTTGAGGAATTGTACAAAACCATGAGTGATTGAACCTCGGGACTGTAAATAGGTAATAAATTATTCTATTAAGATAAATTTGTGTGTTTCGCTTTGCACTGATTTAGTTCTCACAACATCACACTTGGTGGATGTCTCTGGATGAAGACTTCCTCAGCTAAGGATTATTGTCGTTATCTGAGGATGTCATCATCCAACTTTTACGATGTCGTCATCCCATGATAAATTATCTGAGATTGTCATCATCCAACATTAATGTGGCCCTGGACGACAATACTTTGCAGCCAGTTCAATGAACTGTGTAGACAAGCCAATGTAACACACGTGGAGCAGCCCAGCTGTCACAATGAATGCGAGCCACTCGCCTCAACCCACATGGAAACTGAAGACTGGAGAAGCGCTGAAGTTAATAACTGCATCAGTTTCGATGTCATTATTTAGTTCACTTCAATTTCTCAGCGTTTATTTCCTTGAAACATGAACAATACTAATCGTGAACGACGAGAAGATATTGATGGCTACGAAAGTAGGTAAGCAGGAGATTTTGGTAAATACCAAGTGGAATTAAGACAGCGAGAAGTTTTCAAAGACACGCAAATCGTTACAGGCAATATATTAAAACACAGAGAAGTGGGGATGAAAGGCGGGGAATAGCCTGAAATTATTTTTAATAAATCGTGCTAAATACTGGAATCATGTTTGTTTTCCTTTTGGGGAACCAGTTATTCTTTTTGTATCAAGTCCATTAACAACTAAGGAAGTAAATGTATTAACAGTTCTTCGTGCCCATCCTCTCCAAACAACAATCATCGCACCCTACGATGTATGCCGTGTGTAAATAAGCCTAGGTTTATAATTCATTATTTCTAAAGCATACCGTGACGACACCATGGAGACGAGCGCCAAGGGCAGATGGCACTGGCTGACAACCCCTCTATTAATATCAACTGTGGGGAAACGAGATTGTCGTATGCGTTAGGGTGTATCGCAACCGCCTGGAACGTGCTTTAGGGTGGTTGCATTCTCGTGCTCTGCCAAAGTTAACGCAATTATGCATTGGGATAGTTATGAGGACGAGCAGAAATGAGCACCACCAGCAATACCTTCATTGGTTCGTCCCCAGGACCCTGGGGATGAGGTAATCACATCAAGATGCATGACGCAAAAATTTCTTCGAGCACTCACTGGATCGGATGTTTGACCTGCTCCACGGGTTAACACTTCCGAGTGCACTTGACACGTGCACGATTAAGGCAACAACATTGGTTAAGGTAGCAACCGACCCATAATGCTTTTTAGCATACTATACTTCCTTTACCAAATTCTGTGGAAGGGATTTAGCCCATCCCAGGTGCCGGTGCTCCGGGGCCGGGCTCCGCGAGCGACGCTAGGACGGGGGATAACTACTGGAGACTGATGTGGTGAGCACGAACAGAATCCAGATACATGTAACGTTGGGAACTGTTCCCTTATAGCATTTAAAGGTGCTTAAAAATACACTGCCAATATACAAGTTAGTAGAAAGCAATATTCATAAGTTTTCGACAAAAGTCATTAAATTGTAAGAAAATATGTTTGGTATCCATACATAATTACATCCTTTTGCGTTACACACTGGCGTGATCCGTCAGCCTACAGCCAGGTTGAGAGCGAGTTTTCTGATGACCAGACAGTTTGCTTTGATGATATGTGAGCTGTCTGGGGCTCAGTTTCACTCTGCCGGCTTTTAATTCTCGGGTTAGGCGCTACACATTTCATGTGGCATTCTGCGGTTGACTTCACCATACCTTTCATATGTTTGCGAAATGACTGACCGATGAGGGCGTAAACGAACGGGTTGGCACTGCTGTTGAAAAACATCACGACGTTGGCTACGGTATGCAGCTCTACGTACCTCGGGCTCTTGGGTGTAACTTCTGGGTCAAAGGCCATCCACATATGAACGATGTGTACTGGCGCACAACAGAGGGCGTACAAGATAATGACCGTCAGGGTAATGTTAACTGTGCGCCTACGTCTATTGGCTGTCAGACTACTTGGCAGACCGGCTTCACGCATCTTCCGGCCAATCCTGAGGTAACACATCACGATGATGCTAAAAGGAACGATGTACGCGAAGAGGAAGATGTAGGAGAAGAAGTACTGCTGGCCCCAGGGGGCGTTGTACTCAGAGCATGCGCCCTCTGCCGTCAAACCGGCGAACAGGACGGATGGGATCTGTACCACGAAGGACACTGCAAAGGGAAAGCATAAAAAGACACATGACAGTGACATTATTTGCATTTATGGCTATAGAACTTTTTACCCACGGGACTGGATTGCGCTAAATGTAAACAATACCACCACGTGTGGACCGCCTTGGCTATACGGTGATCACATATATTCCTACGGGTAGATCCAACCAAGTGCAAGCGCAAGTGCGAACGCTGCATGCTTGACAAGTTTGTCTTGATTGTCTAGATTACCATCACAACACTATATATTTATTACCATCACAACACATCGCGGTCCAGCACGATTGTGACATCACAGGAAAAAGGACTATAGGGTACTCTCACAGACCCACGTGAGCTGATGTACACTACACCCGCCTTTGTCAGAACTTAGAGCGGGATCGTGTGATACGTACATGACACTCTCAGTAACAAATTTGCCAGTCGACAACAAATTCAAAATCAAATGAAATCAAGTTTCATTGTAAATAAAAAACCAGGTGCTATGTAAGGTAGCTAATGGGGTATTTGTACTTTCGTCCATACCAAAGCTGGAGTAACGAATGAAGCGTGATTATATGGACTCACCTAGCCATATGGAGAGAAATATTTTCAGCAATGTTCCAGACGATCGCTGATGGAGGGTTTCCAGTGGGTGCAAAATGTGACGGTAACGGTCATAGGAGAGAAAGGCTAGTGTAAGGCTAGTCACCTCAGCAGTAACCTACAGATGAAAATTTGAAAGAAGGGATTAATCTTATATCCGTTAATTAATCATGCTTTGTGGGGATTCTTTCTGAAACGCGCCTTGATTTAAATGCGAAGAGATAACTTACGAATTGTAGATAAATAGGTGCTCTGCAGCCAAGAAGGGCCGACAGGTTGATCCCAGCTGTGTCTGCAGCGGTCGGCACGGCGTCCAACAGTAGCAAAGTCATGTCAGTCAGGGCTAGATTAGCAAATGAGTAGTTGATGACAGTGTGCATGTCCTTGTAGCGGATGACGATGAATACGACCATGGCGTTGCCGAATAATCCCGTCGCTGCCACCACGGAGATGACCACAGTCAATGCAATCTTGGCTGCCGAGCTGAAGACAAATTCCTCGGTTGGCAGGCCGTCCGTGGGGCCAACAGCAAAGTTGTTTGTCGTATCAACCGTCACCAAGCTGGGGCTGTTTGTGGTTGTTACATTCCAGGAGTTCATCTCGTCATACAGACTTCGTCTGTGATTTTAGATCCCTGTATTTCTCCTTATGGTCGGTTACACTCAGGCGTAAATCCTACATCGCCTCCAGGGTGGTACGTAAAGAAAGCTGCAACACATCCATCCGTTTCCTGCTGAGTAAGAACATGCAAAGAGTTTTGCCAATGGATCATTTGATTTGGGTTGGTTGATTGGCTAAATGGACTGGCAGGTCATTTGCAGAGTTTTTCACTGTTTGTTCTTCTTTAATATCGTCATAGCTTCAATCTTCTAGTCTGAGGGTTTTATACTGAACAAAATAAAAAAAATCTGCGCACGACATTAAAAGAAATTAACAGGGCTCCTTTCCAAATACGTGAAGTAAATAACTTGGTGATCTAGAGTACCACGCACCAATAAAGGTACCGGTAACGTTTTGCGCATGTGCCAAAGACCAATCTCATTTCTAAGTCAAGTCTTCTCGTCGTAGACTTCGCCTCTAACCTCAAAATTAGTAAAAAAAATAAGTTTCTCCTATACTGGACGATATTGTACAGTTAAATTTTGCTTGAGCAAAACATGAGGTATTACGTCAAGCTCAGAGATTAAACACAAGTCTGATTGACGATCAGAGTTGAAGTCGAGACTCGGAACCCCTGGTCTTCGATTCAGCGCGACAACCAGTGACGTATGGTACCCCCAATCGCACGGTTTATGTTTAAGCTCTGAAAAGGGAGCCCCGCTGATTTCTGTCGACCTCTTGCGTTTGGAACGAAAGAAATTTGGAAGTCTTTGTTGTACTCCAAAAACTCCATTTTACCAGAGAGTAGATGTCTGCAATGGTTTCAGACGCTGTTTTGCGTGCACAATCATGAATTTATTAATAAAAGAGTCTATGCTACCCAGAGGTCATGTTTTGACCGCCCCGCCAAGCATTTCCACCATTTTATTGGCTATGACAAGAACGCGCAACGGTCACTATACCAACAAAATTAACACTCCCAACTAACGTGGCTCTTTTCAACCGATGAGGGAGTGCTTTTCATAGTCGATAGCTTAACAGGTTGGTAGGTCTGACTGGGCCGGCATTAGATCAGTAGGTTGATACGTTGAGTGTGTTGGTCGGTCAAGAATTAGATCTGTCCTTTTGGTGGTCAACAGAAAAAAAATGCTTATATATGAATTTATAGAAAGAGAGAAATATCACGCAAAAACTATCTTTCACCTCCGATAATCTAAAATAGACATGACGACCAGTGTAACGCGGTGTACTTGTACGCAGAGGAAAAGTTACAAATTATTTTATGGTGGTCTTTAAACTGAGAACCGAAAAAATAGAGCCAAATAAGTTTAGCAGTTGGAAATACATTTTAAGGGATAATCTGCGTTTATGCAAAATTAAGTCTAATAGAATATTTGCTAACAAGAACTGCATCTAGCCAGCCTAACTGAATATAAAACCCATCGCACGTAGGTAGATTAATCTTTGCAGCGTTATCCATTCTCGTTCTCACGAAAGTACATGAAGTAAAAACAAATGTGCATGAACTGAAAGACCCAGAAACGATAATGCTGGAAGTGAAATTTAGGTCGGAACATTCGG